GCAGAGGAACAATAATTCGTGCCCCGCACCGCACCATTCAGAGACCCCATATCCCTACTCTCTGCAAGCGGGTTACTCGGAAGCGCAAACTCAACTTCCCCGTCCCCATCACCACCAGCACGGCGAACGCGCTTCTCACGACCAACCGGCCCAACTCGTCCCGCAGCATCCTCGCCATGCCTGCGTTCATCCGTAGCCGCAGGCTTCTTGCTAACGTTGTCATCCGGCCGGATGATCGGGATGGCCTTTGATCGCTTTGCAGGCTTGACGATGGCGGATGACGTATCGAAGGCGCTGAATATCTTGCCTCCCGGGAACGTTGGTGCTGGTGCGGGGGCGGGGATACCAGCATCCGAGCCGGAGACATGAGTTCTCCCACTTGTGGTGTCGGAGGCGAAACTGCGGCCAGGATTAAAGACAGGGGCATCGATGTTGAATGACGCGGTGGAGAAGTTGAAATTTGTATTTGATGAGATGGAACCCTTGTTACTCCGTCCTGGAGGGAACGATGGTGCAGCCACATTGAAGGAGCTTGAGGTAGCGCTGTGCTGCGACAAGCTCGGGCTGAAGATGGAATTGGGGTTGGATACCTGGAAATTCGAAGGTGGTGGTGGCTGGAAGCTATTACCAGTGAATGAGAAAGTGTTCGACGCAAAGGAACTGGATGGATCGAATTCCTTCGCCTCGACGTTTAGCGTTGACACGGATGTCCTCGATTTGTGTCGCGGTTTGAACGAGCGTACACTACGCTGTGCCTGGTGAAAGGCTGCGGCGCTCGAGTCGAACATATTCTTACTGCTAAACTGGTCATGGAACGAGCCCGAGCGACTAGGGTTTGTATCGATATCGGACCCATCGAGAGGGAGGCCTTCATCCTCCTGTTTCTCATCTTCCCTGTCTATATCATTGTGCTCCCTAAAGAGATGTTGTGGAAGGATTGTCCCCTGAGCATTGCTGGAGGCATCAGCCAGCGGCGCATCCGCCACCGCCCATCGCGACTTCATCAAATCATCATCAAGCTGGTTTCTATCATCTTTCTCCAACTGACGGCGGATCGAGTCTTCAAGGTGATACTCGGCCTGTTCAACGCCCTTCTGGAGCGTTTCGCTTACATTATGACGATGGCCGCGAGGCGTTGGGTGGGCGATTTCAGGTCCGGATGGTGACTCTCTCGTATCCGAGTCTGCGTCTGTTTGGACGTTCGAGGCCTCAAAGGACGGAGGAATAAATTGACTAGAATCTTCCTCCTGTTGTAGCTGCGGTTGAAGCTGAAGTGGTTGCTGTAGTGGTTGCTGTTGCTGTTGTGATTGTATAGGCAACAGCCCCTGCAACTGAGAAAGCAGATTCATCTTCCCAGGAAATTGCTTCGCATCATCAGAATGCAACGGCGACACAGGAGCCAACATAGAATTCATACTCAAATTTGCCAACGCCGCAGAACTCACAGGTGAGACAGCACTACCGGGTCTCCCGACTAAGAAATTCGGCGAGGCAAACGAACTCTGTGCAGGAGGTGTTGGCTGGAACGGCAAGAAAGGAAACCCTTGATTAAACGAACGGTCCATTCCAATTAGACCAGGCTGATTCGGGAACGAGGAGCTGCTGGGTACCCGGAACGGCGAAGCGACGGGGGAGACGAAAGCTCCCGGGGTCGAGGCGGCCAGTGGTGGCTGGCTAAAGGGAGCAGACAGGGGGTGCGTGGGTAGACAGAACTGATTACTGCCCGCAGACGAGGTTGGGATGGGTGGGGAAAACGGATGGCTAGGGAACTGATGCGACGATGTCTGGCTCAGCTGTACGGACCCTTGCGAAATGGCAGAAGCAGGCGGTTCGGGATCGAGGAATACGCCCAGTGCACGCAGCTTTTCCTCCTTAAGAAAATTAACGTAAGCATCCCATTCGGATTGATCAGGGAAGCTGATGTTGTATTTATTCTCGCGCCATTCGCTTTGGCAGTCGTTTGGATCTGGGTATGCCGGTCGACTTTGCGAGCCACTCACGGCTTCACCCCCGCCTCCCCCTCCTATAAAAAGATTCTCTTCATAGCCACGAGTATCATATCCTTCCTCTTCCCACATCTTCAACCGTTCCGCGACACCGGCGGGGGTGAGAAGGGGGAAGCTACCGGGACCAGAACCGGAGCCCCGATTGTCCTCGAGGGGCATTGCGATGATGCATTGCTTCTTGCCCCATTGGACTCTCTTTTTGGGCCGTTGGAAAACCGGGGTCGATATCCGTGTCTGTTTTAAAGGGAGGAGAGGGCTGACGGAAGGTGATTGAGATACACCGTCATTCTGTTCATTCGCGGGAGGTGGAGGAGGGAGTGGCTTGTCAATGGGGGAGATCGGGAGACTCGAATCGCCAACTGATGACGAGCCTGTGTGCGGGCTCAGGCCCCTGGACGCGTCTTTGTCCGACATAATGGCGGAGGTATGAACGGCGTCAGGGTCGTATCCAAAATCCCAAAAGTCGGACTGTTTCAAAGTGTCTGTGCTCTTCTTCGGCATATGTTTTGACCACATGCGGGGAGGTCGAGAGGGCAGACCGCCGTCCCTATGCAAATCCCTAGATTTACCTTTTCCAAAGGTATGAGAAGTTGGAGTCTGAAGGTGATCTTCGTCCTGGGAATCGTCTTCCAGCCCAAGCCAGCCTTCAGACTGGTCTTCGCTCAGGTGGTTCCTGGCGGTGAGAAATGAACCCGTGCCGCTGTCTGCCGAGTCGTCACTCAGCCAGTTTGTACGTTCTGTTTGAAGTTGGCCAGAGAGATACTGATTGATCCACTCCTCAGTGAAATCCTTGGTGGGATTCCCCTGTCGACCCCTTCCGGGACTCTTTCCAGTAGAGCCGTAGAAACGTCTCGAGAACCGCGCAGAGGGCTTCAGAGAAATTCGACTACTAGCCCTGCTTGCTTTGGGATTTATACTCCTCGTAGATAAAGGGGAGGATTCCCAACTATTGTAAACTCCTGCTCTCTCTTCTACTCCTTCTCCCTCTTCTTCCTCTCGATGACGCCGGCTTCTAAAAGATGATGGATATCGCTTGGGACTGGGAGTCGCATACGGTGAGCCCCAAGTCGTGGTATAATAAACACTGCTAGCGGGCCTTCTGTGCTCTGGGGAAGACGACGATAACGAGTCTGACTCGGTGTGATACTTGGGTAATGAGGTTAAGGGCAGTTCGAGCGAGGGAGCAGCCTGGAGGCTTGCTGCCCCTGGAGCCACTGAACGCTTCAGAGATGGTATTGTCGCAATGGGATTGTCTTGCACGGGGGATATCTCGCACTCTCCGTTAACAAATGGTGAACGGAGCACCGGATTGGCCGAGTCGGCGGGCAGATGTGAGCCTGAAAAAAAGGGTGGAAACACAAGGAGACGTTAGTCTTAATAGTTGGGTGAGAGATTGGAGGGAACACGTTCATTGGATTTATTGAATTTCTTACCACCTCTCTCTCCTTGCTTTTAAGATTATTTTTGAGAGGGGTTGTGTTGGAAGGATTCATGTTAATGAGGGAATGGGAGTTGGGATTTGGAAATTTGGGATCGGGAATGTTATTTAAAAAGGGAGACGGGGAAGGAGGGTTTATTTTAAATCCAGAAAAAAAAATAAAAAATAAAAATATCGCTTACTTTCCGTGTCGTCTGTAGCAGCAAGCACCCGCTTGCCGCTCTGGATATATCTGAAGCATGGAAATCAATGAGATAGGGAGAGTGAGATGTAGTGAGATATAGAGGGTGGGTGTTCAACTCGAGAAAAAAAAAATTGGCCCAAAGTTCCCTTTTCCTTTCCTTTTCTCTTTATTTATTTATTTACTTTCCAACGCAGGCTCTGGGTCTCAAGGTGAACACGTTGACAGGTTCGATGCGACAAGCGACTAACGTGGTTTGGGTTGAGCGCTGCTGCAGTGGACAGACTGGTGGAACGGGTGGATGGGAGGAACAGGCGTTGAGTTGAAGTTGAGAAAGAGAACAAACAGTAAAAGAGAAAGAGTAAAAACAAGAAGAGTCACGTCAAGTCAACGAGAATAATGTAGAGATCGAACCATGGTGCAGGCAGCTGGAAACAGTTTGGGGCAAATGGAGTTGACGGGTTTTGATGGGCCGGTTCCTGTTCCTGAAAGTCTGAAGCTAAAGTCTAAGAGTCTGAAAAAATGTGCAGCGGAAGGATAGAATAAACACACAATGTAACAAAGCTGACGGGTCGATGGGGGATAAATAACAAAAAGAAGAAGAAGAAGGAGAGGAACAAATGCCCACAATCCTTCGCGGTCTCTCGTCGTGAAGAGAGATGCAAGTAACAAGGACGGGCGAGTAAAATAATTTAGATGTTTCCCCCCTTGGTTTGAGCACGGGACAAATCTCCCAAGAAGCGAGATGATTTGCTGGTGGATTGATAATTACACCGCAAATTACACAAATTACACAAATTTACACCTGGAATACGGAAAACTACGCTATCCAAAGGTTGCCGGGTCAGGGGAAGAGCCTCGAGAGGTACCTCAACAGGCTAACAATTTTTACTACTGAGGGAGGTACCTGATGGAAATGCCCCTTGGTCAACACAGTATTTATCGACGCGTCTTCCCGCCCAAATTGGACTTGGCCTTGCCGTGTCTGTATTGTCTTACCATACCAAATCTTCTTCCAACACACACAACCAACTGCCGGTGCCTGGTCCATGTGGGCAAAAATTGAGTTGAGATGTTTATATTGAAGACTCAACAACCCCTTCGAAGATAATGGAGAAAAGGAACCGCAGCTGCAAATACAATACCCGAAAAGAAAGTTCCAGCAAAACTAAAAGGCACGAAAACCCAAGGAAAAGACCGGAACACAAAGAGAAAGGCAAAGGCAAAAATAAACATAAAATTAAAATAAAAGTAAAAAAATAAAAAATAAAAAGAGAATAAAAAGGAAAGAGCCTGTCTTGCATTCATCTTGCCTGTCTCTGTATCTGTCTATGTAACCACAACATACACGAAAAAATCCTATCCCATCCCCAAGCTAGCACTTAACCTCATACTTCGGCTTGCGATCAGCCGTATACAAGCCCCAGTGCGTCTCATCAGCAGCATAGCCATTATCCCCAACACTCTTCGGCTTCCATGGCTCATCAAAGGCCTCGAAGAAGAACACATCCACATTCCAGCGCAGCAGGGCGCACACACCCTTGTCGTGGAAGATCTTCGCGTTCGCGGTGCCGGCTTTGGCGTCTTCGTAGTCGGAGCCGCCATCTGAAGTATGAGGGAAGTTAGCATTTATTCTGATGTCTGTATATTTTTGTTCGATATAAAGAAGGTTACAAGTGTGGAAGGGGGCATACCGCTTGGCCAGCCGGTTTCACCAGTAGCGATGTAGATGTCTTTAGCACGGGAGCCGGCGAGGAGCTGGATATGGCTCACGGCGCGGGCCATATCGTCGAGGAGGGTTTCGGTGGCATCCTGGGCAGCCTTACCCTGCCAGAAGGCGAAGGCATTGACGAGGCTGGATTTAACAGAAATTTTCAAAGTTTAGCTCGTAATTCCCCAACGAAGATATCTTTTAAGTCCGGCCGGTAATTGTAGTTGGTAACAAGGGGACGAACGGAAAAATAGAATAAAATAAATCAAAAAAACATACAAATAATCCACACCACCCTTAATCAAGGCGTCAGCGGTACCATCGTTGTACTTGTTCCAGCTGTCTGCAGTCCCAACCTTGACCTTCGGGAACATCTTCTTGACAGTATTGATCTTGCTCAGGAGTTCTTCGCCGGTGAAGTTGCCGCGGTACAGCGTCTCAGAGCCAACGGTGATGGCAGCGATGACGTCCTCGTGGCCTGGGATGGCCTTTTGAATGGCCTTTGTGTCGGCATTGAATGATTCCTCGACATCAGGCCTATATACACACACACACACACATATATATATATTAATAAAATATAAAAAAAATACAACATTAACTTCCATTCACCCAGTTTCAAGTCCCCAATGGCCCACGTCTCACAGGAATGGCCACTACTGGTTCATTCACCACATACCAAATACCTAGAACAACCTTGAACCCCTTAGATTTGGCAGCGGGCAAGATAGCCTCTGCATTGTTGCAATCGGCCGCGGCGTAGGTACGGACGATCTTCGTATGGGCCATCAGGACATCAAAGTCGTCTTCGAAATCCTTGCGCGATTTGCAAGTTCCATCGGCGTTTTTCACACCAAGACAGAAGCCTAAGGTGCCAGCTGCTGAGACCAAGGCCGGGCTGGAGGCAAGGATAAGAGAGAGGAATGTGGAGAGACGCATTGTGATGAGAAGTGTTTAGCGTGGATGAAAAAAAGCAGGGAGCGGGAAAGGGTCCAAAAAATGAATGGCGTTGGTATATGGAAATGGGCGGCAAAGAGAGAGGAAGGAGGTTTGGTGAAAGAAGGGTGCAAGAGAGGGATAAAATAACAAGGAGCGGACTCTCTCCTCACACAATGGCAAAAGAATGGCAAAAGGGAATGGTAACTTAAAGAGAGTGGTGGAAGTTTGGTAAGTTGTTGAAAAGTCAGAAAAGGGACACCCAAAGGATTGGAAATGCCCTTTTTAAAAGAAAGGAACGGATGAAAATAGAGAAGCGTAGCAAGAAGAAGAAGAAGAAGAAGAAGTGAAAGAAAGACGTTGAAAGGAGTTGACAGCGAAGAGATGGCTTGACGTTCGCACACGCAACAGGTCCGCCAGTCTGTCAACGGGGCCGTATGAAAAGAACCCCCAGCGTTTTCAAAAAAAAAAAAAGAAATTAAAAAAGGATTCTCACCCGCCAATTATTAGACATTATTTAGTGGGATACTAACATTCCTTGGCCCCTTTGGAGAGCACCCAGTGGGAATGGGAGGCGCATACAACAGCTCAACCCGGCTCTACATTTTAAACGCGGTAGCCTTGACATTGGCCCATTCCAAGGTTATGCTGCGAGTTATCGGGTGGTAAGTTGTGGGTCCCCCGAGGGATAGGCTTCACCGATTGGCCGGTTTGCCACTGGAGGCGGATATCCCGTGGAGCGTTGAAATGGTACCTTGGAATTCCAGGGGAGACGCTTAAAGTTCGCGGTAACGTAATCCGCCACTCCACACTTTTTTGTAACTAGTTATTCAAAATATTATATAAAGATTATATATCATTAGACTGAATAGGCTGTATTAAAATATATTAATAATTCAGGAATTATGGAGAGAAGCTTGATAATGCGACTGAAATATGGGCATCAGAAGATTGAAGATGGGAGAATTAAGAAGTTGTGAAGAAATTGCTAATTAGTGAAAGAAGATTTTCAAGCATTCTCTATGTAATTATATTAATATCAGATTGGGTTTAACAGTCCAAGTAGCTTTGCTTTAACTTTACTAGATGAGAAAAATTAAACAGTATTTTATTTTTTTTCTTATATATAAAATTTAAATATTTATCATATTTACAGTAACTCAGCTACTGTAATGTCATCTGACATGGCGTTGATGATTGAAGCTTGGGAGTAGTTGGGTAAAAATCGCGTGCTTCGACTTTACGTTGATATAGATACACTCCGTAGGTTTGATGGTGAGAGCGACATCACATACATATACGGCACGATGCATAACAAAATTGTGGACAGAAGAATGAGCTGTGAAGGATATGCGTATTTGAATCAGTTGTACGAATGTGAGGCTGATACGGAATTTTTGACCATCTGTTGACCGCAGCTTTTGTGATTTACATCACTTATATACTCCCGACTGGAATCTACTTATTCATTGGATCCAACCCTGCCTCCCATGGCCAAGGGATCGAAATGGTAGTGCATATTAATCTAGGAGAGAAAGAGCAGAATACTGCTCAGTTTGCATTAAACATCGCGCACCCAAACCTGATCATCCATTCATTTCACGAATAAAAGAGAGAGAAAGAAAGAAAGAAAGAAAGAGGACCAGAATGCAAATGGAACTAGGGGTATATCTCGTAGAAATACCAATGCTCGATGCGCCGTAAAAGAGCAGGAAAGAGAAGAAAAACGATAGAGAGGGATCAAGAAGGATGGGAAATCAACGGAAATTCCTCAAACTAATTGTTCATGCTCCCTGGTCCTGGTATCACACCTCCTCCTCCAACACAACACCTACCCACCTCACACCCCCGGTATTCCACCGACCGTTTCTTTTTGAAAAAACAAAATAAACAAATAAAACTTCCATTGCTGTGCCGTATCCCCCCTGTCAACCTTGACCATCAACCAAAAAAGGGAAAAGAAATAAAGCGAAAAGAAAAGACAGTATTATAAATCTACCCATTTTGAACATATTCCTTTGCCTCCTGCGGCGTAAGTCGCTTACCCGTCTTGTCGAAGAACCGCGAACTAATCCGCAGCCACTTCTCCTCGTCACACTGCATAGCAAGCTTGTTCAGGAGCAGGATCTCCTCAAAGCTGAAATTCTCATCGATGTAGAGGATTTTCTTCTTGGGAGTTCGTGTGAAGGTGTAGTTTTCGTTCTGCAAGGTTTGTTCACCTTTTTTTTTTAATGACGGTCATGCGCCAAAATCGAAACATCGCGGAAATTTGGAGGAGGGAGGGTCGTTGGTTGAGTGTACGTATAGAACTTCAACATACCTTCCCATTAACAACAAGCGGCTCGGAAAACGAAACACGCCTCTCATGTCTCCGATGCGTCATTCCAGGCTGTGGCGCTCGTGAGAAACCTATCTCATCCTGTCCCTGTCCCTGTCCCTGTCCCTGGCCCATCGTATGCGGTCTTTGAATCATATACTCCACAGCCGGCCGAATAATTCCCCACCGATTCTTCAGCGCAGAGACCGGTCTACCCATAGACACCGATATGCTTTTCCACGTCATGTCTTGCGCCTTCAGTTGTCGCAGCATGTCGTCGTCGTCCGTTGTCCAGTCTTGCTGCGGGAGAGCAGGTGCTGGAGCAGGGGCGGGAACAGTAACGGTACAAGTGGGTGAAGAGCCATTACTGCCAGCCTGGTTTGATTGGGGTTTCCCGACGTTCGGTGGCTGGGGCTGGTGCTGGATTACACATTGTGGAGGGCATTGCAGGGTTTGTTGACTCCCGTCAGTGGTAATTGCTGGGTTGGGTCGAACAGGCACGTAGACCAGTGGTGGGAAGCCAGGTGGCAGCGAGGGGGGATATGCTGTTATGTTTGCGTTGCGGGAGGCTAGGTCTGCTGCTGCTTTCTTGGCTCTGGCTGCTATTACGGCTCTCTATGTAGGTAGGAGGCTGATATGTTAGACAGTTGGCATGTGATATATATATGTAAACATCATGCGACAAAAGAACATGTGGAGTGACTCTGTGGCTCTCTAGATGATAGTGTCTTCTCACCTTGTAGGAAACAGCAGCTATCTCCTCACGGATTGTTCTGGAGCTTTTGAAGACATCAGCGAAGGATAGCTTGATTCCGCCTCTGCCATCGTTGTAGGTAGGCATCTTTGAGGTATCTTATCTTGTCCGTCCACGGAAGGATTTCTAGGTGTTGCTCAGGCTTTTTGAAGGCCACAGATGCGAATGAAGGAGAGGAGGATAAGATGAAATTAGGCATCTGATATATGAAGAGATGTATGTGGAAAGAAGAGAGGCGCAGAATGTCTGTTTGGTGAATGGGGTGAGTAGGAGCGAAGTCACACGGCAACGGGACTAAACAAACAACGACAGTGTGAGAGTATTTCGAAGAATTACTTCAGATTATTTGCTAGTTTTAGTAGAATCTCAATTAAAAAAAAAAGGTATATAAAGTAACCTGAGAGAGATATAGAAAGAAGATTGGACTAGAGAGAGGGAAGCCTCTCGCAATATCATGATCATATCACAGTTTGCCCTTGTAATACAGATTTCACACTGAAGGTGCCAACCATAAGCAAAGAGAAAGAAAGCAAAATGAAAAGAAATGAGACAAAACAACATATTTCCCAGTAATTGATGAAATGGATTGGATGGATAGCTTGTTTAAAGAGCACATGACTGCTGTCAACTTGCTTGGATTGCGAGGACCATCCATCCCAACAGAAGCATGGAGTCCTATATCTAAACCCACCCAGCTCATCCCACCCATAATCATCATCATCATCATCATCATCATCATCATCATCTATTTCTCATCCCCTCCTGGCAGCTGGAATGTTGGATGCAAGAAGCGAAGCGGGCAGCAGCAAGCCAAAGAAGTGGAGTTGATCAGTTGTTCCCTGGAAGCCTTGGAATATATTGGGTTATCTTGGCCCGTGCTTCCTCTGGCTGATCTGCTTATATAACCAAGCTAGCCAAAGGGTCTAACTAATTGAGGCAAAATCACGAAGACTGTCTTGCGCCAATCTTGGCATCCATAGAGGATGAAGCTGCCAGATATCAATCAGCAAAGGGAGAGACATTCATACGGATAACATCAACATCCGACCCACCTCACTTCACTCCACGCCCTCTTTACCTTCCACCCGGAGTTTGACTCTCAAGTCTCTGTCACCTCCCTCTCTGCCCTCCAATTGTTGAACCCATCCACCAACACACCCCCGGGCGCCACAATGCGATTTCTCTCCTCCGCTACCGGCCTGCTCTCGCTGCTGGGATGGATAGGGGCTGTATCTTCACATAACATCCTCCTCCGGGCGCACTCGCGGGAATGTTTTCACGAGGATCTGCACAAGGACGACCAGATGACTGTCACTTACCAGACAGGCGATAGGGAGTTTGGCGGGAGTGGGAATCTCGATATTAACTTCTGGGTACGTTCTTTAAAAAACAACTAAAAATTATATGTCTTTGCAGTGTTATAAAAATTTGCCCAAACCCTGCACCGGATTTACATTCGATCAATTGGAACAAATAACCAAAGACGGAAAAATGAGCCATCGATTTGACTTGCTCCCTGGCGCTAACCACCCTGTATTCCACACCGAATTAATTAGATCGAAGATCCCACTAGCGCACGACTCTACAGCGGCTACTCCTCCTCCGATGAATACTCCTTCACAGCAACCCGAGACGGCAAATACGTTTACTGCTTTGGCAACGAGGCATGGTCATCGAATACCAAAGAGGTCTCCTTCAACGTGCATGGACTTGTCTACGTTCCTGAATCCGAAGCCCCTATTGACCCTCTGGAAGCTGAAGGTTCGATCTGCCTATGCATATATACTTATACCTTATGGTTATTTTTTCTTCGATGAAAGTACCAATTGCTAATTGGAATCTTCTTTTTGTGGGTGATAGTTCGCAAATTATCCGACGAATTGACACAGGTTAAAAACGAGCAGCAATATATTGTCGTTCGGGAACGCACGCATCGCAATACAGCTGAGAGCACCAATGCGAGAGTGAAGTGGTGGAGTATTTTTCAGCTTGCTATCATTATTGGCGAGGGAATTTTCCAGGTCTGGTGGTTGAAGCGGTTCTTCGAGGTGAGTTTTGTTTTCTCTTCCCAGACAAATCTTTGGGTATTATTTCATCTTTGCGGCCAGCATTGACTGACCTGATTTTCACTATAGGTTAAACGTGTTGTTTAAGCCGCTATCTTCCTGTTTTCAGTGTTTCTTTTTTGGTTCAAGGGATATATTTTATTTGCTGTAGCATTTATTTTCTTAATCATGAAGAGCGAATGAAGAATAGAAAAGAGCGCTTGTTTTTATATCATCGAGTCCCTTCCTACGGAGAAAGCAATCGAAAAGCAAGAATACACCCAGAGCTTTTGCGGTGATCTCTGTGGTACGTTTTATTCTCCAGGTAACATATATCTACTCTCTGAGCATCGCTTGCTTTTATTACCCCAGTTTTTAATATGAAATCTGTTTTCTATGTTGGAGTCGGTGTGTCTATCTATCATCCAACTTACTTTTGCCCACTGTTTTATATTGTAAGAATTATGATTGAAATGGAGGATATGAATTGACCGTTGTGTTCATGTCATTTCATGTTTCTCAACGAGTGGAGCAGGCTTGAGGTTCCGTGGTTAGCTTCATGAGAACGAGCGACTTTAAACTCTCCGCTCCTCCGCTCACCCCATTGTTATATTTCCACCCAACCTCTTCTACACGTTACATACTTTATCAATCCTGATGGACAGGAACTTTTTTTCACATGTTTTTTGAAAAAAAAAAAGAATATATACTGAGAAGAGTGGGACTCGAACCCACGCAGGTTACCCTACTACGAATCTACTTCATCAGAATCATCAGATTCTTCACCGAAGGACCTGAACGTAGCGCCATAACCGCTCGGCCATCTTCCCATTTTTACAGACATTTGTGGGTGGATATTATGTTGGATTATCCTCGGGTTCCAAAGGTTCTGTTCGTTGTCTAAAAAAAGGCATGGGTCTTATTCGTCTGGGTCGGAGATAGTAGGGGCTTGGCATTCGTAGCTATTTAATCTCCCATCCTCAGGGACTAGACTTATGACATCTCTCAGCATCCATCGCTAACTACAACTATCAATGCCCTCACTTTATTTATCATGAGCATTTCACATGCCACTCAGGACGGTGTCCACCGGAATAGAATATCTATAACATAGCTCTCCCTCATCGTGCGTAGCATATTAATTTATATATCTCCATGGCCACTGGCACGGAACTCGAGCTCGAACTCCCATCTCATAATATCTCGGATATATGGCCGGAGTTTCTTAATCGTCACCGAAAACATAAGGGTAACGGTGGTAGCGATGACAACGACGATGAACGGTTGTTCCAGTTCTGCTGGCGACGGCAATCGTGTGGGTCCTGTCTGGAGGCGTCGAAGGCGTGTAGTTGGTGTGCCATTGTATGTTACTTTTTTGTTAGCTTATCGGTTGCGTATTTTTTGTTTTATCTATTCGCCATTTCTATAATATGTAATCTCACCTTGTGTTCATTTAGAAAAGAAAATATGGGCATTAAATAAAATATGCTGGCAGCATTTCATCTCCCTTTTATTTCCCACTCCACCCTCAACCCCCCACCCCCAACCTCACCTCCACCTCCAATATATCTGTAAACCCTTAACGTACAAACAACCAACAAACTAACTCTCCACACCTCAGTCCTCAACCTGCATCCCCAACCGCTCCCCCTTCCCCCTCCTCGCCCCTCTGGAAAATCACACCCTCTGCCCACTCGGCCCTCACGAGCGCTGGGAGCTACGCTCAACCCCGCTTGGCTGCAATGTCAGCACCGCCACGTTCTTGACTGGTGTGGTTTCAGTGCTGAGCACATTGGTGCTTGTGTTGGTAGGGTGGGTGGTGGTGGTGTTTATGAAGATGGGGTGGAGGGGGTTTGTGTCGATGAGGAGGAGGGAAAATGGAACGGGAACGGGGGCGGGTCCAGGGTCGGGATGGGAATGGATGGATGGGTTTAGATTTGTTGTTGGTGGCAGGCGATGGTTGGATAGGATGGGGCAAAGAAGGGTTGTGGTTGTTTTTGATGAAGGGAGAGATGGGGGGGAGAGGAGGCCGTTGCTGGTCTAGGGGAGGGAAGGGGAGGTTTGAGAGGAGTCTGCTGAGATGTGTGGTTATTATTATTACTATATTTACGATTATGATTTGCGTTCGTATGGGAATAGGTGGAGGAGCTTTTCAGGTTGCGGTGGTTACGGAGGCATAGGTTTCTTATCTATAATCCAAATTCAAAACTTCTCAAAACAGTATGGAAAAGAGACATTTAGGTACGCTAAGGAAAATAGGACAGTGGAACTTCGGAACTGTTAGAGACATCATATCTAGACTACCCGTCGTCCGACGTCCTCACATCTTCAGTCCTTGTAAGTAACCTTGCTAACTTTATACTCCACAATGGTGGGATTGCCTTTCATATAGATAAAGTGTCCAGCTGCAACCCATACGCCTGTCTCAAGGCTTGCATATTTTTCGTCGCCAGTCTGGTTGTGTTAGCAAAGCAGGCAGAATTCAGTAGCGGAAGGGGTGGAGATATTTGGAAACATCGTTCCCGCTTTGAGTATAAAGATATTATGCTAACCTGGAAAGTGAGATGGGTAACTATAAACTGTAGTGAGCTAACAGATCAACCAAGTGTAGATAGGCAGCGGAAAGTATTAGAACATACATGAATTCCCGAAAGGAGTGACTGTCGACTCTGACTCGCCGCTCAGGATTGAGGAGAGTGCTGGGGTCATGTCGACAATGCCCGTATAGTTGAGATAGACGGTCTGGAACCAAGATGTTCAGTTAAACAACTAGAGCAACTTTGTTTGTCTGGAATGGCCGAAAATCTTATTTCAACTCACCGCATCATCCGTTGTCCTTTAAACAAGGGAGAGAGAGAAAAAAAAAATATCAGCCCAGCACCTTCAATCATCATGCACCACCTTCCAACCAGTGACTAGCCGTCAAAAGAGAACAGAGCAATTCGCTCATGTAAGCTCTACATACTTAATGACACCATGGGCATTGAGTCGCAGATGTTTTCCATCAGGATCAACGTATATATAATCGTTTCCCTGGCCGACAAATTCGCCATTGAAAACTGGGGTAAAGTTGTTTTCACTCTTGACGGTTCCTGAGATCATGGGCTATACATTTCAAGCACAGCAAGCGGAATATTAAGCCCATGAATTGCTACGGTTTTGTCCATGGAAATGGAAAGTAAAGAAGGTCTAAAGACGTACAGTAACCATAAGCTGTGTTCCGCGGGCAGCACTGCCTGTTACGATTTCATTGATCGAGGTTGTTAGACAACTTAAAAGGACGGGACATGAAATCGAATATAGAATACACATACCAATAGCAGTTGGAGGCTGTATTTTAACCTATTTCAATTACAAAACTCGGTCAGTTATTTCGAATATAGTTATATCATTTAGATATTTTGGGAGTCGTGTTAGGTCGGGAAGAATGCGTGTAACTTTCGCCTTCTCCACCAAGCACAAGCAATGCGGGGTAGCGCGGTACCTGGATGGTGAACGCTGGCTCGAGGTTCGGGAAACCAGACATGTTTGCGTTTTTTGCGTAATGGATTTCTGTCTATTTTTTTGATAAGATGGGAGCGCAGATGATTTAGATTGACGTAAAGAGTGAGTGACGTTAATGTCGAGCTCAGGATCAGGTTGGATCAGGTGGAGGTGCAAATATTCCCGCACTGTTCTTGCCCGTTGTTTTGTCAGAGTTTGAATTATTTTACAAAATCATAAATGAACTTTATAACGAATATCGCGTTCTAATGTTCGTCCTGTTATTCCTCCCATCCGGGAGGGGAGGCTAGCTTCTAGATCACGTGCAGCGGTCGGTACAACCGGCTAACAGAGCTTTAGCATTGTAATTATTTTAAAATTGAGAATCTAACAGTTAAAGATAATGTAATTTTGCCTTAAGAGTCCACTACCTTTGATGGAATTGCCACTTTCTTCGCTCTGCCTCTGCATTCCAATCGCAACCACCTCGGATGGGGCTTTTAAGACACACTGGCCCTTTTCATGGTGAACTTTCAATGTTGCTCTATGGTTTCTTCTCGAACTTGCTTAAAAATCAATCGCCCTCCGATTCTCAAAGGTCCTTTTCGGACAATCCGCTCTTTCCGTTATGATCTGCTGGTGTAGGGCGTTTCCCTCCTCAATAAATAAATATATTAATATAAAATTAAAAAGTAGAAAACACTCCCCGACAGGGAATCGAACCCTGGTCTCCCGCGCTTGAAATGGTTACTAGTGACAATAGTGACAAGCGGAAATCATGACCACTAGACCATCGAGGATAGATAAACATCCATCAACATGATATTAGTTTGGTAAAATAAGAGAAACAGGGGTTATTAACATAGCACAATTTCAAACCCAACCTTGCTTGCGAAGGCACACTGAGGAATACAAACGAGGTGGCCAGTGCTTTTGTTGAAGTCCAACCGGGGAATATTGTCCACATTTCTAAGCCTGGTTCATCTGTAACTATGGTAGTGCATTTACGTGCCCCGAGTCCATCTAAGCTTTACATGCGCTCGGACGGAACTCGATATTGTTCAGCATGTACTCATGTGCTGCTCCAATCCACGGCATACTGCAGACGTATATTAAATAGCTACTCATATCGTATGCGAGCTCTTCACACTCCCTACGGACCTAGGCATGGATGGTTCTCTGTCAGGCGTGCAGGCCAAAGAGCTCACCTTGAATGCCAAGGGCCAGTGAATTCAGGAAGGGAAAGAAGATGCGAAAGTGAATAGATTGTCGTTTTTCTGAAAGGTTGGAAGGTCTTCATCAGCCCATGGATCCAAGCCCAAACCTTGGGGCATTTTGTTTCAGCCTTAAATGGGGTACGGGTACGGTACTGCGGATAAGTCACATGTAATTAACCCATAATGGCTCTGGAATGTTCTGGATTACCTAATTTAAATAAGTGTTAACTAGTTAACTAACCTAACTAAGTTAGTTAGTCACATGGTCTTGCCACTTTTGAGGACTTGGTTGTTTGACAGATTCTTTTCTTAAATAGCAAGAAAATGAGAGATGTTGTCGTGAATATCTGCATTATCTTTAAATGAGCACAAGGGGATTCTGTATATGCTGCTTTTGCTGTCTTCCGCGCAAACCAGGTGATGGCGGGTTTAGGGTGCAATTAATGTGACCTCCAACTTTTCTCCCTATTCGCTCGATTGATATTGCCATTTCATTGAAGCCTTCAATGAATATCTGTCGCTAAATGTTTCTAGACCTCGAAAGATTGGCTTCATTGCCAGCCAAGAAGTGAGGGGAACCATGTCCAAGCTTATCGTGACTATCTCCTTCCTGGCAGTCTGGCCGCTGCAGGGTTTTGCAGGGGCTCTGTATCCGCTGGCGCTAGAGCCTGGGAAAGTCCGTGTAGAACGCGACCAAAAGCTCCATGGTCGTTTTCTGCATATAACTGGTTAGTTTAGCTGCCTTTGCGCCCTAATGCTTAACTGCGAAACATACATACCAACTGTAATCACTTCGAAGATATACATCTTGATACATACTATAAACCGCATTCGAATCCCGACGACGACCATGAATGTCACAGGGGACCTGGGAACGCAGGCTACTTTGGAACTACTGGCTCCAGCTGTGATTCCCCACTGGCCCTTGTAGATGCAACTTTTGCCTGGATCCAAGAAAACGTTGCAGACTCCATCGACTTTGTTGTTTGGACTGGTGATTCGGCCCGTCACGACAATGATGAAAAGGCCCCTCGTACGGAGAAAGAGGTTATCGATATGAACCAGGTTCTCGCCGATAAGTTTTTTGATATTTTTTCCAAATCTAGTGGAAAGGAAAACGGAATGCGAATTCCTGTCGTCCCTACGATTGGAAACAATGACATAATGCCTCACAATATCTTCAAGAGCGGACCCAACCGTTGGACTAGGAAATTGGGCATGATTTGGGATCCTTTCATTCCAGAGGAACAGCGCCATACTTTCGTCGAGGGTGGCTGGTTCTACGTGGAAGTTATTCCCGATAAACTGGCTGTGTTCAGTCTAAATACCTTATACTTCTACGACTCGAACAGCGCAGCTGACGGATGCGAGGATAAAAATGAACCCGGATATAAACATATGGAGTGGCTGCGGGTCCAGCTTCAGTTCATCAGGAAAAGGAACATGAAAGCTATTTTAATCGGTCATGTTCCCCCAGCTAGGACGGACTCCAAAGAGAACTGGGACGAGACGTGCTGGCAGAAATACACGCTTTGGCTATACCAATACCGGGACATCATCGTTGGGAATATGTTTGGGCATATGAATATCGATCATTTCATGTTCCAGGACTCCAAGGAACTTAAATTCGGGTATGACGGGGTCGAATCTCACCACAAGCAGGGGAAGCAGCAGGGTGCAGAAGAAAAGGTATCAGTACAATCTCGCCTGGCTTATCTATCAAGCCTAAGGCGCGATTGGTCGCAATTGCCATATCCACCTGAGCCTTCACCATCTTCATTTGTATTTATTAACGATAGCCACCACAACGATGATATCCATCTTTTGGATTCTTCCTCAAGCCGCAAAAAGAAGAGGATGGGAGAGTATTTGAATGAGATCGGTGGCCCCTGGGCGGAGAGATACAGCGTATCGCTCGTGTCACCCAGCATAATTCCAAACTATTATCCAGCGTTGCGCGTCATCGAGTACAATACATCCGGTTTAGAGAACGCTTCGTTATGGTCGGAAGTATCGGGACAACATAACAAACCATCTTTTCGAACTTCGACTCTGTCTGAGGACTTAGATTTTGAAGGTCAAAATCTATCCGCAAAAAAGAAGAAAGGAAGCAAGAAGAAAAAGAAGAAGAAGAAGAAGAAGCCAACTTTTAAAGTTCCGCACCCACCGTCTCCCACCGCGCCTCCTGGGCCAGCATATTCGAACCAACCGTTCACTCTACTTTCGTATACCCAATACTTCTCTAATTTATCAGACATCGATACAAAAACGATGGTATCAACAGCGAATCAATACTCCGACAACCAAAACCCTCTCCACTGGATCAGGGGCCGTGGGAGGAAGCCCGACCGCTATGAGCCAAGATCCATCTCTTTTGAAGTGCTTTATGACACTAAAACGGACAAGTCATATAAGTTGAAGGATTTGACCGTCAGGAGCTATTTGGATCTCGCCAGAAGGGTTGCGCAAAAGGATTCGGAGAAGAAAGATCAACCACTGGTGCTTCCAAATGCTGATGCTAGATGTCAACAAAGGAAAGCCGAAACCCCCGACGGGCCGTCTGGACCGCCTTTGGACGCAGGGGGTGACAAGTCGGACCCTCTATGCACGCAGATAGAATTACCACTGTCGGCAGGGACGAAGTCTCGTGAAAGTATCTGGGCCGTGTTTGTACGACGGGCATTTGTGGGTTATTTCGATAGTGACGTGATGCAGTAATGGATATATCTGAATAAGTTTATTATTTCCTATATAATTTCGAATTTAGGCTTTAACATCTTGTTGTATTGGGTTTTCTACGTATTTCTCCAAGGCCTTTCTTTTATTTTTGTATAATACCTGATTCTCGTTTGCAATATTCAAGGTTGGGTCAATGCATCGGTGCGTACGACGTGTATTTTTATTGCTTAGGGTTGTGAGCTTCTTTGGCTCCCTGATTTCCTAATCCCTGGGGGAGTATCCTGGAATATTGAGGCGTGCAATTTATCTCATTTGGTAAAAGCCTGGTTCCGGATGTAACATAAGATGGCCGGTGAAGGGTTAGAATGTGAAATAGTGGTGTTTACGTGGAATCATTATCTTATCCTTAGTTTCCTACGGTTCCCCTTGTCTGTCATTTTATTGTTCTTCTGATCTTGATTTCTTTGTGACTTGAAAGACCAGATTTGATAAAGACGAAAGGAAGAAACACACGATGGTCAATGCCATCGGCTTGAGCCAGAGTAGAGATATCCAGTGATGTACCGCGAGGACTGTCAGGTAAATTCCATTGACAATGGGGATGAATTCATTGAGGAACGCCTCTAAAAGCTCCTTTATGGGGAAGAGCTCAAGAGAATGCCCAACGAGGATTGTCAGATTCTTTCCTTTATGTTGGTCCATTGTTAAGATCCACGAAGCTGGGATATTCATATCTCGTTGTCAAATAATCTTTGTTCCAAGACCTGAAAGGAGATAATCCCCATAGATTAGACGAATGCCGTCGGATGAAATCCTGGTATATAACATTCAATGTTGGCTGACAATGCCATCATTCTCTCTGCAAGTTCATACGATTCGAGACTCTTCTCTGGACGACACTGCAAGTCCATGTTCAAGGTCCGTCCATCGAATATATTCGACTTTTCAATCCCGCGAAGAACCGACGAAAAAGTTGATATATTATCATGCCGTAATTCAGAGGAAAAAATCTTTTCAGAGCAAAAAAAAAAAAAAAACTTTAAACAGGTGCGCATTTCCGAATAGTTGCTATTCTAACTGTGCGGTTTTGGCTAATATTTTCATTTGGATCTGTCGATGGCAAGTGAAAACAACCCACCACCCGACTCCGCGTGGTATCGTACCGTGATTTTATACTGATGCTGGCGGCGTATAGGTAAACAATCGAGGAATAGGGGAGGGCATTCGCCCCTCGAGTATGTGTAAAGAGCTTCATAGACTGGTGCACCCTGATGGCTTTCGTCGGATACTTGAAGCTTACAAGAATACTACCCTCCCAATATAGGGAAATCTCTGTGGACAGACGAAGAAGAGATGTGGCTTATTGTTACTTGCATGGAGCAACACACCAACGAATGGCTCGCGCAGAATATGCCGGGGAACAGCGGACGAACCTCACACTCCATTGCAGGCCACCTCGCAGATCTTCGTACAAAGGGCAAGCTCCCTCGAAGCTGGAGACAAGAAAATGGCAACGGGGTAACATCTTGGTCAATCGCTGAGGACATGGAAATACTGGAGTGGATACTTCACGCCAAAACACGAATCGATCCTGTGGTATTCGTCGCCGCCGATCGTTCTGGAACGGCAATTACTAATCGAGCAGAATACCTGATGGCTGACGAGGTGTTCGCCGCGCTTGTTCATGACACCGAAGAGAGCCTTAGACTGGTCCAGCTTAACTACGACGCGACCGAGGAAGGTCCAGAGAAGGAGGAAGCATACGATATTCTCGTGATTGCGGAGGATGATAGCGATCGTCTCATCCGTGATGCACTGCAGAAGTCGCTTGCTAGTCGATCGTAACGGCTATTGTCGTTGTAGAAAACCTGTCTGAAGCCAGGCGTAGGAAGGGGGATGGAAGTCATCTGCTGTTTTTGGCTCAGGTCTTCCTTAGCATTGATTGGCGACAGCGGCCATTGTTAAATTTTAGCAGCAGAGTGGTTTGTTTGGAAACGCTGTGGGAGATTGCTTTGTGGAGGATCTTGGGGTAAGTTATTTATTGGCGGGGTGTGAGTGGTTAGGAGTTTAGAAATTTAGTAAAATGAAGGAAATTCGGCCGGACCATTTTGCAATAATCCCAGTAGCAACATGGTGACTATTGACGGAAATCTTGTTTCACCATGATATTGTCTGTCCTGACATCACTGAGGGTGAACAGCAATTTATTCATTAAAATGTAAATTGTCATGCTCCAGAAAGAGCAGCATCGCCCATGTTTACCGGTCGAGGAAAATGCCAGTATCTAAGAAACTAGTTTGCTAGGAGGATGGGGTTTTTGTTGACGTTTCAACACAGATTATTTATAAGGGTTGTCTTCGGTTGAAAACTGCAATCAGGATAATAGTTGCAGCGCAATACGAGCCAATCAAAGAAAACTCTATATTTTAACGAAAAATTACCGAAGTGACAAAAGGTATTTATTATGATTGGAGAATCTATTTGAGATGCAAGACCGTAAATCTCAATTTCAGCAATGCAACAACAGGCATAGGATAGGGACGACCGTTATTATTAAAAACCGTAGGACCCTGCCGCTGCCTTCCTGCTTGCCTTAACAACTTCAATTCTCGTCGTTAACCGTCGATAATCTTTTTCTCCTCCAAGTCATCCAAAAGCTCGAGAACGCAGTCTTGACATTATGGCCAGGTCCTTCGTTGTGGAATAACTGCATTTTCTGCAGCCTCCTTAATAGCACACTGATCATGGAAGCATCCAATCACACAGATAAACCAACTCCAAGAGAGTCTCTGATTTACGCGTGTTCAAGTTTCTCATTTCGAAACGTATCAGGTTGGAAGGACCTATGATGTTGAGCATGGTTCTTTTCCGCATCCGTGGGTCCGTCGATGAAGAGACCCAGTGTCTGTATACAATGTCTCTATTGTAGATGGCAATGTGTTCAGTAACGAAACTGCCCGGGAAGGCACCAAGTGAAATGATGCGAATTGGGTGGAATTCAGGCTCTTCTCTTGCTACATGCAAGGGCCTATAATTTCCACTCTCTGACCAATTCATTATTTGCTTGTTGCCGAGAATGATGCCGCCCCTATGGATATTTTGCAATGCGTGCCGGGAGAACTCCAAGTCTGGGCAACATTGCATGAACAAAGGGCGAGCACTTTCCGAGTACTTGCTCGGGCTCTCTTCAGCGAATATTGCTGGTTGGAAAATGTCAGACTTTGGGATGACGTTTGAGTTCGCCTGATGAGTAACTAGCCATTTAGCGCCACTTGTGGCTGAGATTGTGCCTCAGGTTGTGTTGGACAAGGATATTGCAAAGACTTCCCAAGAACCGAGATGCTCTTCAGGAAGAACTTGGAAGTTTGAGATAACTAATGTCGGGCACCTGAGGTTACAGATCTCAGAAGGTATGATATTGATTAATACCGGGTGATTTCTCAAATGTCCAAAATTTCTATTGGGAGATAGTATACCATATCGTGAGGCATTCTTCTAATGAATGCTACACACCAGGTAAGATAGCAATCGAATCTGCATTTGAGGGGGAGTACAAAAGAGAAATATTAAACAGGGAGTAACATCATTCACCATCCTTCATTTCTCACTGTCATTCCTTGGGTGCCACGCTGGCATGCGCCCGTCCCTAGCTCGCCAACCAGGCAAGGATTCCCCTCCTTCAGGACGCTTTTCGAACTCTATTGAAGACAGCTGTGGAATGGTGTTGACATCCCCAAGCTGAAAATAGGCAGCAAAAATGCACGATTTGTTGCTCATCCTCCGTCAAGAATCACCAGCTCTTGTGTCCGTACTGTAGATTGTGTTTCCCCTGGGGTGTGTACCCAGACGACCCTGAATAAACTAAACCTGCTGACTGACGACATAGCAATCTTCAACTGCAAATTATTAGATCGTGGCTTATTCTGTTTGTGTTCGGGTGGATGCTGAGGAAGAATCTTATTTCTCTAATCCCGGGAGAATAATGACGCCTTGAAGAGGCTTCCTCTGAAGCGGAATTTAGGGGTAACTAACTAGATTGTTGCAGGTTTTTCCTTGGTTTGCTCCGGCGCTTAAGTTTGTAACCTTGTTATTTAGGGCAACCCACACCAGCTTAGGGAGTCCTTGGGTTAAAATGAAGAGTTCTGGCACTGACACGTAACCGTGCCACAGCATCTAGTTCGCTCTGGTATGCATGCTATGCGACCTGCGGAGCCACCTCAAACTGCTGCGCCAGAATTTGTTCCATTGCCAGACACGACGCCTCGGGTGCGACAAGGACTGTGCCTTCGGTGTGTTGAAAATGTACATAATCGCCACTGTTGTCGCTGTGACTAGTTATTCTTCATGCGGCTATTCTGTCACCTAGCAAGCCACCTTGAATATTGGTGGCTCATCGGGACGTTGGACTACACATCTGTTGACAAGACAAGCTGCATTAGAGCGTCATAGCCAAGAGGAGAGCAAAGAGTGACAGAAGAACAAGAAAGCAAACAGTCAACAGCTCAGCAGCCCAGCAACAGAGCAGCCCCAATTTGCTGGCTGGTGATATCCATATATTTTTTCTATCTCTTCCCTCTATCCGCAGCGGAGCGCCATATCGGGGCTAGTGCCATCTCTTGCATTTACTCCACTTCCAATTTGCTTACTGAGCCCCATCCCAACCTCCACACCGACAGATTGACGTGACGGACTCTCAGCGGCCATTGGGGCCCTCTGATTCTGTGCAAATTCTCTTCTGACTTTCCCCGTTTCAATCGCCATGTTTTTCTTCCGGTATATGCTGCACGTCGTTTTGATGCTCTAGTTTTGTCAAGTTCAGCCACTGGTCATCTTCTCCTGCCCGTCGCTCTGTGTTGGCAGCACCCAAATCTACATCGTCTCATGCCCAATTGCAAACAATGAATCGCGAATTTATCCTGCCGTACAGCTACGACCTCTTGTCCTGCTTTTGCGTTCGCTGTTCCCAGCTTTTCGAACCCCAATCGTGTCATTGGTTGAACTTTCGACGTTTCTGACGAATAGCCGTTATATAGCCGCCTTACTTAACGGACCCAGTTGAAGAGGTATGTCATTGGGCTATTATCCCTCAAGACAACTACTGACTGGTTATATATCTATCGCATTGGAAGCTGACAGATCGCGCTGAGCCCCCAGCCATCTCTGTTTCAGCCCCAGATTTTTGTACATTATTCTCTCTCTTCGGTTTTCTCCTGGTACTATACAACAAAAGAACCCAGCGCTATCATTTTGATACTTCACGGCCGACACAGGTATTCGAGCACGGTTTGACATCACCTGTACGATATTACGCCTTCATAAACATCGTTCCTTTTATGAGGTTGTTGTCTCTAGCCTCAACGATAGTTAATCAAACTCAACAACTTTTACGCTTTCCTACAATCAACTTTAACAGCAACCAGTCCTCTGTCTGGCCCTCCTTATCACGCACTGTAGAGCTACTTTTATCCGTTTCTCGAGCAGGACAGTTCAGTTTCGATTTGGAACACACCCATCCTTGAGCACTGGGCCTCGAACTTTGATTATTTGGCGGTATAATATTTGGTCCCCATCCAACGTGCCCCTTACACCGTTAAATTCTAACGGCGGCTGCTTTGAAACCCGCAAGAAAATAGTATTTGTCACGAATTGGAGAATTGTTTTTTAATATTGGCGCTGGTACTGAATTGATAGTTTTTTGGAGACAGGTAAGCGCGCCAGTTTTTACTTTATAAATGTTATTGGTTTCAACTATCTTCTGCTTGCCGCCGGAGTTTGGGGGCTGTGGACCCTGTATATTTCGTCTATTAATAAAGAATTTCTATTTATTGGCTTTGGGATATTCAGTTGCACTATTTCATCCAACTTCTTTCCGTCTTGTTTGGCCTTATCACCTTTTTAGCACCGTCGTTTTGCTCCTTTTCCATCGTTTCTTCAATGAGCACAGAAGCTATGGACCATATTGCAGTTGAAAACAATTTTCATTAACTCGACCATTGCGAAGATACACGAGAACTGATCATCCTTTTACCTCAGCGGGATCACTTAGACAGTACTCCACTTTCTGCTATTTGGATGGCATCCTCCGAAGTTGACCAAAAGTTTTTGGGCTTCTTTGCGGCCAGCACAGGTCACGAAAATGCCTATCTCTCTGGTATGCTTTACAAACTCCTTGGTCTTTCCGTAATACTGTCGAAAAAACTCCTTCGCGCTCGTAAGCGCCGCCGGCTTGATCCTACGAGAGAAACCAAATCGTTACAACTCTACCACCACATAATATGGCTTTCCCGCGAAGGATTGGTGATAACGGAACAATACGTGCTCCCCATGGTTGAGGCTTATGTCGAACTGAAAGTCCTGGCCCATAAGCTCAGAGCATCCTTTTACCATATTTTCGTCCTTTTCCATAACCAGCCAAGTATCCACGTCTCAGGTATTCGAAGCCTACCCACATTTAGCTCACCGCTTCATGTTGCGAATGGACATGACGCGATTGACAATGGCAGTGGTGTAAGAGGAGACTCAAAGTCGTCCCCGATCCCAAATCGAGATTCCATCACCGCCTCACCAACTCTTGTCGCACCAGAAGGAGGTCCCGTTGGTGGAACACACCTTCGCCCTCCTGGCCTACCAGCCGTTAAGCCCCCTAGATCCGCCTCTTCATTCATACTCCCAAGTTTGGATTACACTCCAATAGCTACGGCTTGTTTCAGTGACGTAGCGCAACTCGCAGATACTCTCCTCCCAGGTTCACATCCGGTTAGGCTGTCAGTCAAGCTTGAATATGCAGCGTACCTGTACGATTGCCTCCACGACTCCGACGGCTGTAGACGTCTGGCCAAACAGGCCATCGCGGACGTCTACAATGCGCAAGAGGGTATGGACGACGAGAGTTTTGAAGACGCCGCTGAGATAGTGGGCATCTTGGGCAAAATGGTCAAACGCGGAGGCAAGACGAGTAGCGGGGGAGGCAGCAGCACGCCAGGTGGTAGTACCCCAAGGACCCATCAGCAGGACACCGGCGGAACCCTTCGGCAACCCCAGCAACAGCAATATTATTACCAGCGGCAGCACCACCAACGAACTCCAACCACCTGAGGAAGCCCGACTAAAGTGCCCCCATCAAGCGCATATTCTTCAGTCATGTCCCCCCCTACCATGACGAACCCAATCTGATGTCACACATAGTGGTTTCGTTCTTTGCTTTTGAACTCTGCAAGGCTTTGATGACTTAAATTCAACTTGGACATATTTGGACTATTCTAGCGTCCGCTCCATGCCCTATGTGTTGTACATACATACCCAGGTAGCATATATACATACCCCTACCCTCTGGTGTACAAAATTTATTTACATCACCCTCTGAAAACCTTCTTGATTTTTTGGTATCAATGACAATCCCGGAGGAGTTTCCAGTTTTCACCAGTCATTTCTTTCACTGGAGTTCTCTACAAAAGAGGGATTTGGCGCTGTTCTTCATCTTGCTTTAGTTTTCTGCATCTGATTCTGAGGTTTGCTCATCTACACATACGTCTTTGTCTTCATATTGGTATTCGATCACCCTAGGAAGGTTTTCTCAGCAAAGATCCTTAAAACAGTTGCAATTCCGTGGACAACATCCTCCACCATATTGCTCCTCGTAGCGTATCCGTGCTAACTTGACGAACAGTGATGCGTGTATGAACCATACCTATTTGTCAGATCTACTCGCTAGCTATTTTTACAACACTCAGATTAGGACACCATTTTGCCTACGCCTGTGCTTATTAAATCCTCTTATCCCTCCCCAACACTAGCACCTTTGAAAGCCCCAAATGACAACCCCTGGGCTTAATGATCCTCCGGTTCTTTAAATTGGATATTCATACATCCCTTGATGTCAATCGTCTGCCAGTGATACAAGTTCTTTGTGTTCAATTTTCGGGTAGGTTCACCGTTAGGAGAGCGTTTTATCATGAGATAAAGAGGCGAGTTTCCAAAGTATCAATGCAGTCTCCATAGAGTTATACACATTATCGCGATTATTTGATGTGAGGAGGGAGAGATCTATGTATCTATGTTCATGTCATCTCGGTAAGAATGCAAGCTGAACCGCACTAACTCGGATGGGCAATTGAAACGACATTCCAAGACTTCGGCTTCAAGACCGGTTCATCTTCCAACCAAGCCGTAGCTGTCAACGTGGGCCGAGGTCTTATCCCGAGGTATCTGAGAGCTGTCAACAAGATGCCCGGTCAAGCTCGGCTCTGCTAGGCCGGCACGATGGTCTTCTACAATGAGAGCAAATAAGAAGAGCTTACAGTTCGTGGAGGTCCGAGTATTAGCTCTGTGCCGGGTTTACCTCGCCTCCCCGCATCCCCGTTCAGCAAAGCAGGACCTTCTTAAGGGGTCCCATATCTCACTCTCACCAGCCCAATAAGAAATTATTTTGACCTTTCCGTCTGCAAATCTGAAAATAAGACATCCCATCTTTCTGTTCTGTCGTATTTATAGTCATGGCGACTAACTCTGAGAACCCTATTCCGTTCTCGGAACCCCCATACCTTTGCGGTCTCCCTTCCCCGTACTATACTGAAGCCCACCGGACATTTCAGAAGGCATGCCGCGCATTTATGTGGGAAAATTTGACGTCCCATGCCTTTGAGTGGGAGCGCGAGGGGACCGTCCCAGAGCATGTCTGGCAGACGTTCGCGAAACATAATATGCTGGTTCCCAATCTACCTTCTCCTCTACCCGTCGTGTGGCTAAAGAAACTTGGCATTAATGATATCCTTGGGGTTAAAGTGGAGGATTGGGACTTGATATATACTGGAATCTATTTAGATGAGGTAAAAACCTAACACGATGGATTTGCGAGTAAATGTTTCATACTGGTGTTTGCTAATACTGAGCTATTGTAGATGCGCCGTTCAGGATTGAGCGGTCCTTCAAGCTCTCTTAGCGCTGGAATGGCATACGGTGTTCCACCAGTTCTCAAATTCGGCAGCCCTGAGCTCCAGGAACGATTCCTGCCCGATCTCTTGACCTGTAAGAAACGAACTTGTATTGCCATCACGGAGCCTGACGCTGGAAGCGACGTTGCCAACATCACAACGAGGGCCACAAAAAGCGCTGATGGGAAACACTATATCATCAACGGTTCCAAGAAATGGTATGCATGGTCTTGCCAAGTCAACCAGATCATGACAGCTTTGGGACAGACCTTCAATCGACGAGTGCACATATCAGGATATTGACTGACATCCATATTTTCAGGATCACAAATGGAATCTGGGCAGACTACACCACCATGGCCGTGCGAACTGGCGGCCCAGGTCCGAGTGGCCTATCCATCATGGTTGTCCCATTGAAAAACTATCATGGGGTAACCATGCGCCGATTCTCAGTTACCGGCCAAGCCTGCAGCGGCACCACTTTCATAGAGCTCGATGATGTCAAAGTCCCCGTCGAGAACCTCATTGGCCAAGAAGGCATGGGAATGAAATACATCATGACCAACTTCAACCACGAGCGCCTTACCATCACCATCGCGGTGACTCGCCAGGCTCGTGTAGCCCTCAGTGCTGCTTTCGGGTATTGTCTGAAGCGCGAAGCTTTCGGAAAGACGTTGATGGATCAGCCTGTCGTTCGACATCGCCTTGCAAAGGCCGGTGCTGAACTGGAGGCTATGTGGGCGTGGGTTGAGCAGTTCTTGTACCAACTGAATAATATGTCCAAGGAGCAGGCCGATTTCCGGCTGGGAGGACTGACAGCGCTCGCTAAAGCGAAGGCTGGTATGGTCCTGAATGAGTGTGCTCAGGTTGCCGTGCTGCTATTTGGAGGCAGTGGCTTAACAAGAACTGGACAGGGAGAGATTGCTGAGCGTAAGTGTTCCTTTTTCCCTTTGCACTTATATTTTATTTTGTGTTATTTTCCCCTCCTTGTTTAACGGATTACTAACATCTCTTTTCAGGTATATATCGTGAAGTTCCCGGTGCCCGCATTCCCGGGGGCTCAGAGGATGTTTTGCTCGATCTCTCAGTGCGACAGCTAGTTAAAGTCTTCAAAACACAGTCACAACAGCGATCCAAAATATGAGGAGATAGCAGGGAGGAGGGTGACTTTGGTGACGATGCGTCAGTTAAACATATTCCCCTTGATGTGATATCTATTGCCCCTATGCCTTGTTTTGGATGATTTATGTAGGGAAGCTTGTGCGCCGTACATGTATACAATTTTACCATTGAACAATGGCAGGATTTGGAATGTGTGATTGTAATCTGAACACTGATATATAATGATAACTAATGATTTTAATTTTCTTTCTGACCATGGCTATCTTCCGGTCCGTTCGTGTAAAACGGTTCATGGTTGATATGTATTACTATGAATCTGCTTTTGTTTCCTCTGTAGGGCTGAAGGTGCTATCTTTATACGAGAAGCCTGGTTATCGATGAGCCACACGTGAAAAATGAAATGAAATGTGCGAAATATTTTAAGAATGCCTCGATTCTCCTCTTTTCTAATCCCCCAAATTGACGGGTAATAATGAAGCCCGAAGAACTCTTTATTCTAAGTTTCCAAGGGGGACCCTGCAGCAATATCATCCCTTCGTACATAAACCAGCTTGAACAACTGGTTAATGAGAGAAATGTGTAGTTCGTTAGTTTGCGATATTTAAATACCGCACGAATGCCTCACTGCTAACTCTTTTCCTGGAGATCTCACCTGCTGAACATGCCTGACGCTCCGCAGCGTAGACATGGATAACCTGAACAAAACTGTGCTTTGGACTCAAAAACCGGTTTTGAGAAAGCAGAAATACAAATCAAACGGATTAAGCGGTTTTTATTTTTTTTAAATTTATTTTAGAACAGGGCAAAATAAAGCAGAATGGAATAACAGGATACATAGGAGAGCGATTCAATCAAAACTTATAGTTACCGTAGAGGTGACTCTTCCTCCACGTAGGGACTCGTACAATAAGTTACTTAAGCACCCTTCATGAAACAGCCACAAGCTGCATCTTTTCCAACCCTCGAGTAAGCTCCGAACCCGCTCAACAACCACGTCCAGTGCAGGTCAATGCAAAGCAGCTCCACCTCAGGTAGCTAGCTAGACGTTCCCTTCAATTGTCTGGCACTGATTGGGAGAAATCTATACACTCTGCTCCCTATGGAGCCATGTGCAGTTCCTTTGTCAAACCCATGTCTGCCCACGACTACGCTCAGTGTTGATTGCGACGGAGTGAAAATCTTGAAAAAAATGGAAAATAGTAAAAAAGGAAAAAGAAAACCTGCGTTTCCTTTTATACTCTATCCCACTATCAGCATGGAGGTTGTGATCGGCTGTTGAGGGTAGCCACCATTTCACCCGGTTTTACGAATTTCAAGTCTCAAACCCCGTTTCTCGTGGGATGGCGTAGTTAAAGGGAGCTTCATGATGACGTTGAAAATTGTGGGAGCAAGTCTCTTCATATTGGCCGTTACGCTCGTTTTCCGTCTCCTGCAATTGCTGCCGGCCCACTTCAGGATCCAATGGAAGGATACGCTCTCTAGACAATATGCTGCGACGCTCCATTTCCTCGCTGATGACCTGCAAGGTGCGTTAATTTTTATTTTTATTTTTAATTATTTTTTTGTAGTAGTCAATGCTGCTTCCATATTAACATTAATTCTCTTCAGAATCTTGTCCGGCCATTTCACACCAATATCACCACGACATCCATGGTGATGAGTTGTGGCAGACAAAGGAATCGGTTCATCAGAAGCACTGGATGTCCAGTGCGCTCGATATCAATGTATTCCGCGTGCCGTCACCCTCTCCAGCATGTGGAGAATCGAAAACATACTCACGCCCCAACACCCTGTTGAACTCTTTAATATACCCCTACAACCGCTGGCGCACCGAACACCAGAAACGAAAAGAACACTCACTTCCATACTCCAAAGTCCCTCGATCAGAAAATCCTTCCCAAAAAACACGGACAAATCCACCGCAACATATCAATTTCTACCGTGTTAACAGCGGTAGCGACACCAATAATAATCCAAACCTGTCAACCCGTCTAGAAACATCACTCAACTCAAAGCCACTCTCCGACCCATCAACGGCAGACCGTTTCTCCTCGCCAGATATCAAAAGTGCCCCACGGCCCGTCTATCCATCCAGCCTAGGGCAAGATCAACTATATCCTCTGTACAAGTCGAACAACGCTTCCTCCATCCCTTCTACGCGAATCGACTGAAGCAACCCATACAGCACTTTTTTCACTTCACCTAAGCCGCAAAGGAACCCTCTCCTCAATCTCCTCAGTCTCCTCCTCGTACCTCTAGAACAACATGGCTATCCGTGCCCAGACAGACTTTCTCGCTCTAGTATCTCACATCCATTGTTAGATTCCGCGAGCGCTACAAGAATGAGAATCACATAAGGCGAAAAGGAGATACGGGGCAGTCTATTGGGTATGGTTATAGCAGTGGTCGTTGGTGTGATGTGGCTTTGACTAGAAGGGGGGGAAGAGTGAGGGAGGTGTCTGGTGTACATGCTCTATGTTATATGGTCTGTATGGATATTTTTTATGTTTATGATTGAAATATCTCATATGCAATAGAAACTTCTGACTGGTTATCTCTTTAAATATTGCTATTTTGTAGTTAATTTAATTTAATTTTTGTATATGACGTGCATCTCTATTCGCACTTCATTTTAGCATCCGTCGTTTGATTTGATTTTCTTCTATTTCACTGACTTTTTAGCTTTATTTTTTTACCGCTTGCATATCGGGAGGCGCAAAGGGCCTCGGGATCGCGATGTGATCTTCTGCCCTTCTCTTCTCCATACCCAGAGGATAACGGGTACATTAAGACATGTCGTATCTGCTGTTTTCTCCCCAGGATTTCCCTTTCTTCGAGACGTCCCTGATTTCCCCCGCTTTGCGGGTCTTGCCCTTCTGATTCTAATTGGTTGATACCCTGTTTATCATTTATCCTTTCAGGCACATTTGAGGAATACCTAACATTCGTTGACCCCATTCTTTCCAAACTTTATTGTCGTGCGTATTTGTACGTATACTTTACCCACCCCCTCTAGAGATGGAATATGTGGAGCGCTGTGTCTTTTCAAGGTGGTTTTGAGATATTAACTCCCACCCCCTCCCCCGGGGTCCCCAAACAAACTGTTGGACTAAGTGATGGGCATGAATCCTTATTGTAATGGTTGGCTAAATGTGTTAAAGTATGTTTAGTTCACGATTGAGATAATATAGTTTTATACGATCTGAGAACATTTTTTTAAAAAAAAGGCAACCCGTGGAAGATTCTGTCATTATCAGCAGATAAAAGCAAGGGAGAAGGGAGATATATGCCGAAAAGTAAATTGTGTAGCCGATATTGGGAGGCTTGGTTTGAGCCCCCGGGGGGGAGGGAGACGGGGAAGTGCAGGCGACGATTGATTAGAATAGCTTCTAGTGGCGTAGATGCAGCAGTGAAGGGAAAGGGGGGGACGAGAAGTACGAATGCTCCATGCACAAAGTGAAGACCAACAAGAAACCGATTCATTCTGACTCAACAAGCTCAATATTACCAAGTTAAAAGGGTTGTGCTAAGGGGGAAAAAACAGGTCGGTGGGACTTTGGGATGTGGAGGGTGACTTTACCCTCTTTTTTTTTTTTTTTTTTTTTTTTTTTTATTGGCTCGCTTGAAAGAAGAGTTATGAAGTTTCCATCATTGTTGGTAAATGGAAGCGTCCATTTTCAAGGCCAATACACCAATAACACATTAAGCCGTACGTATCACTTACGCAAGCTAGGCCTTGAAAATCCTGCCAGCCATATAGCCAACCAGTCATCAACGCAAAGTTAAGGATGTCTGTTCCTTTATATCTTGCTCAGGAGTTCAGATCAATCGGCAAGCACTCCAACCATGATATATCCTTTGTCACACTCACACCATCTCCAGCAAAACCATTCCTTGCACCAGAGGACAACACATCTAGCTTTTCAAGTGTCTTCACACATACACTCGCCGCCTGCGAAAACTGACGATACTTCCTCATCAACTCAATACTAATCCACCAGCCTTCCCGGATTACCTCCATGCCGCCAACGTCTTCAATGACGCCTCTGGGACATTTGCGCGCTGCAATGAAAACTTTAGCACAAGCAAACACATATCCAATACTCTCCCACAATGATGGTATGGCGAGGTTGTGGTCTCCCTTTCTGCAATCTGCACCGCCATTCTCGATTTCGTTGAAAATATTGATGATCTCTGTTGCCAGAAGGATGCATTTAACCGCGCTCTCATGAGCGATAATGTGTGTCATGGGCCTCTCAATTTTTTCGATGGCTATTTCTCGCCTTGTTTGCGGTGAGGCGATTCTTCGTGCTACTACGCGGACATCAATGTCAGGAGAGGCCGCTGCAACTATGGCCAGTAGTGGCTGCCAGAGGAGAAGACGCATGTGCAGATAGCGGATGCGCAAAGTGTTGTGTTGGCGACGGGCGATGGGATACTTTAGGGATTCGCTGTCCGCATCCGGACGCAAGAAAGTTGGTAAACCTGCTTGCCAGCTAGAGAGGGAGCGGTCGACATCAATGAGCGGTTGTGGATCAAAGGCCTCAAGCTTCTTACGAGCACTGCCGGAGTCAGTCAACTGGAGTTCCTGCATAATAGGAACGAGGGCGTTGTATCGATGGTAGAGACGAGCAGAATTATTGAAGAATTCTATGATTGAGGGTCGGTCAATTCCGGGGTCTGGGTCACCCTGGCCCTCTGAGGCGAGGCGGTCGATGTAGTCCCTGTTGGCAGGGAAGGGAAGTGGAGTTTCAGAGGTGTGTTTGGTTAAGGTTGTGATCCCCATGTTCATGGCGATGATGCTGCATATAGAGCATTAGAAAATTCAATTGAAAAAGAGTTATGGAGATAATCCCCCCTGACGTACCATTCAAGTGTCAGCGAGCAATGCCATACTCGTCTTGGTAACTCTTGGTCTTCCCTGGGAGTTAAGTGATGGCTTCCAGATACAAGGTGGAGATGAAGGGACTGGGCAGCACGTATGGCAAGCCCTATGGACTTCCACGCATCGCGTAGGTTATTTGCTGCAAGAAAATATTGAGCCATGATGAGATACGCCTGTACATGTATGATTTCCCCTTCTTCTATTCCGTTCATGAAAATCAGATTTTGGCAGCGCTGAAAGTACTGCTCGGAGTCGTTCAGGTCGTTAGGGTCACGTAATAAAGTTCCTATGGCAAATATGCCATTGAGGATGCCATAGAATATGCAAGAGTCACCCGAAACCGAGATCCTACTACCTCGCTGTTCTGTTTCATTCCACAGCGACTTGTATCGGTCTGTGAAATCTTCCCGGTGAAATATTGGCATATTGACGTACTCCCGCGTAAGGTAAAGGGAGACTAACTCATTGGCTGCATTGCGCTGAGGAAGGATGAGGTTAACTGGATCTGGAAATAACATTTTTTCCGACTTCTGATTTGCGACTTTGCTCAATCTCTTGAGTTCTCGATCGGACTCAAGCGTGCTTCCTGGTCTCGAAACGCCGGTTCTCTGAAAGACAGCCTGTCTGAGTCCCGGAAGAAAGAGACTGAGATCATCTCTGTCTTGTTCGCTTTCAGCAGAGTTTGGGGATTCCGCTCCGTCACCCATTTCCACAGATACATCAGAATCACTTGATTCCTGAGATTCTTGAGCTTTTTCAGCTGTTGTTGGATGAGCCTGTGGAGTGAACGGTCCAACATATTCAGATGCCTCTGAACTTCCATGGCCGCTAGAACCATGAGTTTTGACGGGGGGACTTTGGACTGAAGGAATAGATCGCCTGACGCTTCCGGCGTTCGGCTCCTTTTCGTCATCTTGACTGGACGATTCCTCTTCATCACTTTCTTTAGATTCATCTCCTTCAGATGACGTCTTGGAAATTGCCCCAACAAGCTGTAGACTAGGACTCTCTCGGGGAGAACGCACTCGCTCCTTGCGTAAGCTGGGAAGGGAAATATTTTGATTTCCGCCTGATTGATTCAGAACTCTAGGATGAGATATCCGGATCTGTTTATGTGGACGTTCGTCTGAAGGCGATTCTGGACGCTTCCTATTCCGTCTCTTAATCCTTAAGTATCTAGTAAAGGACATATAAAAAGACAACTCTTACAATGTCTGGGGGGTAATAGGATCGTATTTACAATTCGCCTCGATACCTCTTTTCAAACAGGGCCCACATGCTGTCAAGATCAGTAACCGTACGGACCATGTTTCTCCCACGAAGAAAATGGGTGCATATTAAATGTAGAAATTTCAGTCTCTCTATACAGATTATTAAAAAAACAAAAAAAAAAAAAAAAAAAAAAAACCGAGGAGAACAGGGGACGGGTGGAAGTTTAAAGCATATCAGAACAACAGGACGAATTACCTGGCATCTCCCCATCACATTTCCTCTTTGCACCCCTACACACGAGACACGCCCTTACAGTCCGTGTTTTACCGGCTAGCTGACGACCCGTCAAATTTGCTTTAGCGCTACTGGGTTTTGCAGCCGGGTGAGAAGCAGAAGTTGGGTATTCGCATGTTTGATCTTTTCGCAAACATGTGCTGCAAACTACACCAATTCATACAAAGGATTGTATATATGAATATCAGCATTTAAACAACGATACTGAAGATTCTATACCACTGTAATAATGATAGGAATCGAATGGATGGGACGAGAAGAAAGCCTTACCTGGTTGGGCCCCATCACAGCGCACATGTTTTAATCGACAAGTTAAGCATCGCACAGCGGCTCTGGATGACTTGACCTGGTGAGAAGAACTCGGCACGTCACTTTCCATGGTCAAAAGGGTTGATTCTCCCTCCATTGTGGCTAGCAGATGCTGCGTCACGCCAGAAAAGAAAAAAATGGCCACTATCGCAAAGTTTGGCGCGTAAGGAGGCAATCGAGCCTGATTTTTTGCAGCCCAGTAGAAGGTAATTAGAAACTGGTAATGTTTTAAAAGGGCAAAGACAGAATAGCGGGGGCAATGAAGCTGGTCGAACGACGTGTGTGTGTGTTAGCAAGGGAAAGCTTGAAGTGTTGAGGTTTGAGGCGCTGAAAAATCGGACCGGGTGTATGCTCCCGTATAGGTCGTATTATTACAACACAATACACCAACAACTCAGTTACCCAAATATATGGATGGGTATTATATAACCAATCGTGACACAAAGTACTTGTAGATACGTAAAAGCCCCTTAACTGCTCACAGCAACATAATGCCCCCATTTTTGTGTTATTGAAGAAATTGGTGAAACAATAAAAGGGTTTAGATTTCGCAAGATTCCAACTCCTTATGCGACTCACGATGACCATTTGGATATATTTCGCAACACTAGAACTAACTATACTGACATAGGCGCTGCCTCACACACATCCAACCTCAACGACATTACGAAAAACTACGGTGTGATGTGTGGTTGATTTAAGCTTATTTTAGCTCTCCACAATTTTACTCGATTCGGGTTAGCTCGTTCCCGTGTGTTGAGAATCCTGAAATTGATTATTAGTGATTATTGGATAAGGCTATTAACAAATTATTATGTGGTAAAAGGGGAATTTGAAACTTCCAGAAGAAAAAGAAAAAGGTAAAAGAAAAAAATCCAGGTAAATGTTTCCCTCAGCAAGAACCATGGGACGAGGCCTTTGTCCCGAACATTCCATGAACTCAGCTGAGCCCCCATCGCGATTTCGCCTCCACGCTCACGATCTTTGATTTCTTCAATATCAGCCCCGCCAGCTCTACCACAGACTTGGTCACGAGAATTTCCATGATTTGCAAGCTCGCTTGGAGCTCGCGGGAGATCCAATTGCGCACCTCAATGGTGATTAGGGAGTCCAGCCCGTATGTGCCCAGAGGTTTTAAAGGGTCAATTTCGTCGACGGACCGCATCATTATGGTGGATACCTTTTGAACAAGAGCATCCGTAACTATTCTTTCTGCATCTGCGCGATCAGCTGTATTTCTCACCGCAAGACCGGGAGATGCTTTGACTAGAGAAGATGTGGGGTCGCATATTTGGCCTTCATCAGAGGCGGACGACTGAACGAGATGTGAAAACCTTGGATCCAAGGTCCACCACGGTGTCTCTTTACCGGTGATGGATTTCAATATTCCTAGGCCGGTGATGCAGTGGTGGTGACAGGTATTGACCATATCGCCTCTGATGGCGGCGGCAAGAAGTCCTCGAAGCTGGGCTTCATTAACCCAATCCACGACTAGCGAGTTTTCGACTTCGTTCTTCCTCTGCTGATTTTCCGCGAGATACCCGATTCCTTGAACGGGAGCCAGGTCGATAGTAGTGCAAGGTAAACCACGCGCGTTTCCATATTGTGCGAAAGCTGTCATGAAAGTGCCACCGGCGGCATATGCAGCTTGTCCCCTGTTACCGACAAGACTAGCAATTGAAGAGAGAGTGATGAAGAAATCAAGATCACAGCTTAATCCTACGAGTGCATGGTGTAGATTCCACACTCCTGCAACCTTTGGTTTCACAACCGCGTCGTAGTCATCAAAGCTCATCCGTTCGAACAGTGTGTCCTGAATGAAGTGTTAGGGGTTTCTTGAAAATGCACACACGCTGGGAATTGGAAAACGGCATACTCGGAGAACCATTGCGCCATATATTACCCCGCGCACAGGTGGCGCTTGCGATAGTACTGTTGCCAGTTTGGCTTCGACTTCCTCTTTTTTGCTGATATCGCATTGGCATACAACGACTGTCGCTCCGTCTGCAGCGAGATCCTTAATCATCTCCCCAACTCTTTCATCCGAGGCACCGTTTCGTGAGACGACAATGATATGTCGCGCCCCTTTCTCAGCTAACCATGACGTAATATTTCGTCCGAGCCCTCCCGTACCACCCACAACTATGTAGGAGGCTTCCGCAACGAGAAAATCTCCTTGCTTCTTTCTTGGATAAACCTGTCGCAAACATTAATCAGCATCGAGAACCAATTTTATTCACAGATTAAACTAACCTTGACCTGAGCATTCTTCCCCGCTTCGATGACAATCTTTCCGATACTGCGGCCGGTCTGTAAATTATGACACGCCTTCTCGAAATCCGATATTGAAAAGCGCGTAATTGGCGATATACTCCTAGCACTGCCATTTTCAAACATCTCAAAGACTCCAGCTAGAACCTTTTTCATCAACTGCGGGCGTTTGTTGGCCAAGAGTGTCAAATCAACAGATGCAAAACTTACGTTCCGGTCGAAGTGGATCATTTCAAGTCTCGAATTCCGTACAATGTCCTTTTTACCAATTTCGATGAATCGCCCAAACGGAGCAATGCATTCCCAAGTTGCCTGTAGCATTTCACCGGCAAGAGAATTCAAGACAACATCAACGCCTACTCCATCCGTGGCTTTGCGGATTCCGTCAGCGAAAGAAATATCACGACTGAAAAAGATTCTTGTTTCGTCGATGTTGTAGGTTTCCATTAGAAACTTCTTCTTATCAGCGCTACCAACTGTTGCATAAATCTCCGCACCAATCGATTGAGCAAGGATAATGGCCGCTTGGCCTACCCCTCCTCCGGCGGCATGAAGGAGAATCCGCTCCCCCCGTTGTAGACGACCAACCTCAAACAAAGAGTAATATGCTGTGCAAAATACAATTGGAATGGATGCTGCTACATCAAAACTCATCTTATCTGGAATCTTCAAGGCGCTTGATGCCGGAAAGCGAGCGTAATTGGCAAAAGCTCCCTCAGAGACGGCACAAACCCGGTCGCCAACTTTGAAGTCCGTCACTTTATCCCCAATAGCGGTAACGACTCCGCTACATTCATTCCCTAAATGACCGTTCTGGAGTTGACCCATGGCAATCATAATATCTTTGAAATTTAGTCCTATAAATCGAGTTTCGATTTCTATCCAATTGGCTGGGAGCTGAGTTGTTGAGAGCTCATCCGTAAAATAGGAACTGTCTAGAGTGCCATGGTGTCCCATCGCTAGTTTGAGGCGCCTGTCGTTTTGATAGAAAGGCTGTAGTTCAGGGGGGATTCTGTGAGACTCTTCGTGAACATATTTGTTCGTTTCTGGATCTACAAAAACGCGCGAAACACAAATAAGTCTATTTCTAACCACATATTCCATATCTCCTTGCCTGAGACTAGGTTCAGCACCAAATACAGCTCTGAAGACCTTCATTATTTGATCAGCTTCGCCATGGTGGGGATTGCCTTCCAGCTCTAGAGTCGCAAGTTGTATCGCCGTTTCTGAGCGTAAAGTTCTGGCTAGCCCGATTGCCATGCTGGACTCAGGTGAGCCCGAGGCTAGGTGGTCTTGACGAATGACCCAGAGAATACCACTGGCACTAGATGCTAGAAGTTGAATTGCTGAAAGAAGATCCGGTGTCATGCTGGATAAAAGCGGCTGATATAGGTCGCCGAAAAAAATGCATAGTCTACCTTTTGCATTAACTTGGAAGAGTTCTTCAACCGAGGGGCGGATGCCAGTTATATTTTCCAACTCGCGGATAAGACCAGGTGCGACAAAGTCATTGACTCCCCCGTGGTAAACCAGAGCTATTTCCTTGCCGGATAATTCATCGGATGCTTGGACGGTTGATAGCATCAGACTACTGGACTGCTCAAGGGTCTCTGGATAGTCGTCCAGAGATAGGTCTAATCCAGAAAACTTTGTTTCTCGGAACAGCTTGTCCCACTCGTCTTTATTCCGAATAGAGCTACCCGCGCGACCTGATCTTTCGGTTGACCAAGAGCCTGAAAGCAATCTGGGGACGAACTGATATAAATGTCTGGCCGTCCAATCGAGCAAAACCAGTTTCCCTCCAGGTTTCAGAAGTCCATTCACATTGGCCATGGCTTCATGTAAACATTCTGTCGAATCCGACAAATGACAAGCGATTATTAGATCGTACGATTTTGGTAAATAACCTTGGCCAGAAGGATCTTGCGAAATATTCAAGTTTCGGCATGACACGAACCTACCCCAGGCTTGAAACTTAGGCTTAGCTTTAACGAGTGTATGGGTGCTTTTAGCAGTGTACGTGTATTTGGCGAATCTCCGCATTTTTCCAGTGTCACCACCCCCCAAAATTCGCAGTATGCGTAAAGATCCTTCCCCTGTGCCAGCTCCGATCTCAAGAATTTCCATGTCAGGGTACTGGAAAGCCATCTTGTCGATACACATGGCGGCGTTGGCGTAATTCCGGTTAAGGGGACTAAGCTCATCGTAGTAATGTTCCAGGAGATCGTCACCAAGACTGGTGGATATTGAGGCTATTTCCCGATTTAAAATCGGTACAAAATTTTCACCTATGGAACATGTCACTTTCCCCACTGTCCCCATGCACTGAGCCATGTTAATAACGAATGACCACCTTTCCTCGTTGAATTGCGACCAATCTGAGTGATGAAGTCTAATTCTTCCATTCTCTGTCTGTAAGTTTAAAGTTCGTATCCACTGATAGAACGGCTCGTGTTTCTGACGGAGGCTACGGTATTCCTCTTTGTCAAGCTGTTTTAACGCTTTCTCGAGGAAAAAAAACGAAACCTGATTGAGGATGTGAATATGGCTCCTTTCGTTCTGGTTCGTGTTATGAGCCCCATCGAATGATCTCAAATTTTCCGTGGTCAAAAATTCTAGGCAGGGCTCAAAGCAAAGCTTATAGCATAACTCTTTGGGCTCACCATTCGCAGACGCTATGTCATCATGAACAGGTGTTAACGTCAATCCCTCCATTTTTAAAAGAATTTCGGTGGGATTTTCAGCGGAGGTAACAAATATATCGTGGTTGATGGGGACGCCAGGAGAGAGTGAGTTCAATCGACTCCCATAGACCCGAAATTGGCCCCCAATTGGCATGGACGTTGAGCGGGGAATAGACAGGCCTTTTAAGAAGGATGGTAGGTAAAGGGAATGCGGCCCCGGGTTAGTAAATCCCAGGAGAGGCCATACAATTTGCACACACGCATCTAAAGCCGCAGGATGAATGATTAAGTCGGTTTCGGTTTCTTGAGGCATAGAACCTCTTGTGTCAGTCACCGATATGTCGAATATCGCTTGTTGATTACCGACGAAAACTTTCGATGCTGCTTGAAATAACAGGCCATACTCCAGAGCATTGGCGGCAACAGCGTCATACATTGCATGGACATCAGGGGTAGATGCGCAATTGGAGTGAAATGCAGCTACCTGCTCTTTGATATAAACGGAGTTCTCTATGTGCTGATAAGAGCCGTCAACGGGGTTTGGGCCCCCGATTTTATGAACCTTCACGAGTCCTCGACAATGCTCATCCCATCCTTTAGTATCCGACCATGAAAATACTCGAAATTCACTCCAAGCATCCGACGATATTCTAGTGCCCTCCGCGTACGGTCTTAGAGTAGTCATAGTTTCGACTGCAGACGTGTCCGAAATAATCAGGGCTCTCCCAATAGACACTTCCCGAAATACAAAGTGATCGAACTCTACCTTTTTCATAATTGAATGCTGGGTTGCGGCTTCCAGCACCATGGCAAGGTAACCAGTCATAGGATATACATTGTTTCCTTGAACTCTATGATGTCGAATCCATGGATGGTCATCTGCCCGCAGAACGTTTCTCCATCTGGGTTCTATATCGTCGCTTTCTACAGAGAGTGAGCCAAGAATATCGTTTCGTGGAAAAGGCTTATGACAATGATTTTGAGACAGACGGGAGGTTTGCCAGTATTTTGTAGTATGATTCCAAGGATAACTCGGCAGATTCGTTAGCAAGACAGGTCTCTTTCCTTTGTCGGACGGAAAATTGATGGAGTTGAAGTTGAGTTTAGCCCCATTCATGAATAACTCCGTCCCCAGTCCCTGCATTGCCTCAACGGCGTCTTGTTCGCGCTTAAGACTATGCAGATATTTTATCTTTCCACCCAGGGAATCATGCTGTAGAATATCTCGGATAGGGCCCTTCAGTGCTGGGTGTGGTCCAATCTCAACAAGCGTATTTATTTGTTTGCCAGAGGTAGCTCGATTTTCCAACAGGCTTTGTAGGCCGCGTACAAACTCGACAGGAGATACGAAGTTGTCTACCCAATAGTCACTGGTAAGATCGGAATATGTGGCTTGGTGACCGAACACTGATGAGTGGAATTTGATGGCTGCGGATTTTGGGACGATATTTCCCATCATCGACCGATATCTTTCCGAAACTAGTCTCATATGATGGGAGTGATATGCTACGTTCACTGGGAGTTTTCGATTGAAAATTCCTTGATCGTCAACCTTGCTTTGCAATTCACTTATTGCTGTTTCATCGCCAGAGACCGTAACGCTCTTTTGACTATTGATGCAGGCAATTACTGCTCTTCCTCCTTGAAGAGTGTCAAGAAGAGGGCCTATATCCGATGCACCCGCCCCAACGGCCAACATGGCTCCTTTGACTTCTGGAAGTTCCTTCGATATTTGGTCTGCTACGGTTCCCCGAGTGTAGGCAATGGTGATGCAATCTTCGAGCGAAAGCATACCGGCAGCATACGCCGCAGCAATCTCACCGCTAGAGTGGCCAACCACGGAAACAGGCCGTATCCCCCACGAACTTAGAAGCTCTGTCAAAGCTATCTGAATCGCTGTACAAGAGGGCTGACTGAAACACGCTTCAGAAATAAAACTTGTACCGGTATCCTTGGATAACTCATCTGAAACCAGTTAGAGATAAGAAACGAAACATATCCATATATAGCTGTACATACCGATCAAGGAAAACATAGCACCTAGTTTAACCAGGCACTGATCTGCCGCTTCCATTGTGGCTCTAAATATTGGATAGGCAACAAGGAGCTCTCTACCCATGGCATTCCATTGGGCACCCTGGCCAGTAAAAACAAATCCGATTACTCGCTCCCCTGCAGACCTCGTGGGTGTGGTAATTGTAGACAGAACTTCTATCAGCTGTGTGCTGGACGGAGCCGAAACTGCAACTCTCCACGGAAGGTGATTTCGTCGCTGACAAAGTGTGTAGGCCAAGTTGTCCATCAAGTGAAGATCGAAAGCTTCTGGATGCTTCTCTAAGTATATTTCAAGGGCCTTTATCTGCTGAGCTAAACCCCCCCTGTTATGAGAGGACAGAGTATAAACCTTGCGCAGGAGGGAAGGTTTTGGTGCTGGCGTCTCAAGATCGGATCGGGCTTTCCAGGCAACTTCTGATAGGGGCGGGGCCTTCTTTAGAATGACATGGGCGTTTGATCCTCCAAATCCAAAATTATTGACGCTGGCGTAAGTTTTCTCGCGGGGCCATGGCACTTGTCTTTTGGGCACCTTTAGGCGAATTAGCAAGGACAGAAACTAAAGGTTCTAAAGGGAATGGATAAGGAGAATATCCCTGGGATGCTTCATGGCATGGACAAGGAGTGGGAAAAGAGAAAACAGACAACCAAGAATATTCGAAGAGAATTTGTATGTACCTTTAAATTCCATTCCTCCAATGGAATAGCATTATTCGGTTTCTCGAAATCACAGTTCGGTAAAATAAAACCCTTCTCAAGCATCATTGCCGTTTTTATTACTGAAACCACTCCACTTGCCCCTTCAGTATGGCCGACGTTACATTTAACTGAGCCCACAAACAAAGGTTTCTTCGACGGCCTTCCCTTGCCGAAAACAGTATGAAGCGCACTCGCCTCTATCGGGTCGCCAACTTTGGTGCCAGTCCCATGCGCTTCCACGTATCCGGTATCTATAGGGTCTATGTGAGCTTGCGCATAAACCGATCTAATAAGTTGTTCCTGAGCGGCAATATTCGGCATCGTAACTCCCTGGGTCCGCCCGTCTTGATTTATCCCACTGTTGACTATTACAGCCCTTATTGAGTCGCCGGCTTCAATCGCAACATCCAACTGTTTGAGGACAATACACGCTGCACCCTCTCCAGGTCCAAATCCACTCTGCGCTCTATGATCAAATGGGTAACATTTTCCAGCATTAGAGAAAAGCCTACAGATAAATGTTAGTCAAGTTCTCCGGCGATATGTCCAGAACGATAAATACCTTTGGAGAGACATGGAGATGAACACATCCGGTAACAGGTTTAGATGGCAACCGCCGACAATTGCGCAGGTCGATTCCCGTGATCTAAGGCTTTGACAGGCGATATGTAATGCGGTCAAGCTAGACGAGCATGCAGTATCAATGGTAATACTTGGACCTTTGAAGTTGAAATAGTATGAAACTCTGTTGGATTGAAGCGACAACGCGCATCCGGTTGCGTTGTACCGTGAAATATTTTCGCTATCCTTGTAATTGTTCAAATCGTAATCCGAGATCGATGCGCCAACGAAGACGCCCACTTGATCATCAGCCAGTGATTCCAATGTAATACCTCCATTCTCAAGCGCCTCGTAGGTGCATTCAAGCATCAGACGTTGCTGTGGGTCAATGGACTCTGCCTCGTGCTTGGTGAGATTAAAGAATGGCGCATCAAAGAGGCCGATATCTTCCTTGAGAAAGTAGCCGCCATTAAAGTTGAAAGTTCCATTTCTATCCGGATTGGGATGGTAGAAAGCCGCAGCATTGAATCGATGCTCTGGGATCGTGGACCAACCACTTCGCCGACGAGAGCACAACTCCCAGAGAGTATCAGGGCTGGTAGCATCTCCCGAAAGACGACAGGACATGCCAACAATAGCCAATGGCATCAAATTGCCCCCACTACACTTGTCCATAACCGCCCCTTTTTCTGGATTCATCCTGTAAGTTAAAGTAGGGATAAAAATCTCTTGTCGAACGAGGATATGGAATTTTCTTGGGGAACTGAGTTGAGGCAAAGTAACTTGTTCGTAGGCTCCGAAAGAGTAAAATTTCCGAGAACAGTGTCTGTCAGTTTCCTTCTTTCTGCAATAGGAGTAATTTAAGTGATCTGAGAAGCGGCAACGGTAGCGTATTGCTTGTGCAAGTTAGTCGATCAATGCTTAGACGAAGTGAAAGCTTTTGCTGCAAAGTCCGTATTTCCTTTGGTTCAGGGGACTACGGCTGAACATGAGAAGTCATATCAACCACGGCATGCTCGACACGAACAGCCGACAAGAGCTTAGCTTTGAGCCAACAATGATCCCTAAAAGCTGGAAGCTTCACGGTACGCGGCCGGTATGGTTCCAATATTAATATCTACCATTTCCCAAAATTAGGATCAGAAACCATCACCCGGTAGGATGCAGATCGCATCATGAAAATCTCCTTCCTGCCATTGGGCTCTAGAAAGAAACCTGTTCCACGAAGGCCTGACGAGACTCAATGGCAAAGGGCCTCGACGCCAGGTGGCACGCGTGCATATGCAACATCATCAACCGTCCTCCGTGATATGATTCAAGTCAAACGTGGGGTGCACTGCAGGACAAGGCAGAGGAACTTTTTTGTGGTTGGATGTTGGAAAACGTTGAGACCAGCTAGACTGGTAGCTTCTCCGCACTCATCTGCAAGGTTCCCCTGATCACCTAGGCGGGGACCATCTGGAACAGCGCTCAACCAAACCTTGACGTGATGACGAAGAAATTTGTTTATTCCAAAAGTTGCTTATTTGCGACACCCGCGTTGATACACGAGTTTTATTTTCTTTGACCAAATATTCGGTATCGATCTGGCCCAGAGTTGGATGTTGTACCTAATAATTGAGAGTTCTTCAACGGTAAGTTACTATTTGCTAAGACAATGTCTGTGTTGAAGGTTTGATATGTGCGACGCCACCAAAACCAATAGTAACGGACGTGCTGAGTATTGTGTCCAATCAGCTTGATTGAAACTCATATGATCGCCCGTTGCTCCAATCGCTAGAGTGGTGTGAACCTGAACTCCACACGGCGTACAACCTTTGTAGTTTGTCATTTATATAAACAGACTAATTGCATTACAAGGCAAGTGAAAAAGACATGTCGCTATGCTGTGTAAAAGCATGTCCTCCCCTTGTCTTTAATCTTTATTCCTTTTCTCCAGTTGCACCTTGTCAACTTTTATCGTCAAATTATACATGGATCGAGTTCTTAGAAACTCAAACAGCCCTGGCGAGTGATCATGAAATTTCTATGCCTTCCGGGAGCACTTGGTAGTGCAGATGTATGTTATTCTCCCTTTTTGCTTTTTTCCCCCTTTGGCTTTTACCCTCTAGGAAGTAATAAACTATAAGGATCGGCATTGATGACGCTTCATCTAGATATTCCGAGTGCAGCTGAGTATGTCTGTATAGAAAGACGTTGTTCCGCACCCCGGGAAAATTCTAACGAAATTCAACATTCAGAAAGCCTTTGCGACAACTTAGAGTCCGACGGAACAGCCAGCTTCCATTTCGCACAGGGAAATATACCTGCTCGGCCACCGCCAGGCTTTGAAGACTACTTTGGCCCACCTCCTCATTTCCAATTCTTCGACAACGACGCCGCGGAGGAGGATCTACGGGCCCTCCGAGATTTCATAAAACGGGACGTTGCAGAAGAGAGCATGCAGATTCTAGAAAAACGTTTGTTCGTACACATTGAACGGCGCCATGATACCCTGAGGCCTGTGCTTGACCGCATCATCCAAATTATGGACAAGGAGGGTGATATTGAGGGCGTTGTCGGATATTCAGAGGGTGCTCTTATTGGGGCAAGTTTAATTCTTGAAGAGCAGCGAAGATTTGAGGAACTTGGCAGGCCAGTAGGGATAAAGTGTGCAGTGTTTTTATCCGGATGGCCCCCTTTTGATCCCAAAACTGGGAAGCTTCTTCTATCCGATGGGGGTTCCGAATTGATAAAAATCCACACATGCCATGTCTTGGGTGCCAATGACCCTTTTATCGATGGTTGCATGGCGCTATATAATATCTGCGACCCTGACACTGCCAATATTTTTGACCACGGACATGGCCATACAGTACCACAAGGTGACAAGATACAAGGGGAGTTGGCGGAAGTGATACGGGAAATGGTGGCTGAAGCCCAGCAAGAGAGTTGAGAGAGAGGAGAGAGAGGAGAGAGAGGTTCCATTGAAATGATATGCTCCTGTCACATATAGCAACCTGTATGCACTACTCGATAGGCCAGAGACACCACAAATCGCCAAACCATAGCATCATCCCAGGAAAAGCACAATCAACTTACATTGTTCATAAAATTGTATGTCCCTCGGTTCGGGGATCGTAGTCAAGCATCAGCAAATCCCGGCCTTCATGAGTTGGTCGAGTAGTTTGACTTTGCAGCCAAAATCAGCAAAGTCCCTCACAAGATCCTAATAACTAGCTAGGACAGTTGGTGATTTAAAAAATAAGATCCAGCAAACAGCACTTCAAACAATGCGCTCAGAGCAGGGTCGGTTCGGCCTAGCTGGGGGAGAGTCGATCATTCCGTTCGTATCGAGCAAGGGCTGTTCCGTCTGAGCGGACAGACAGCGGAAGAAAATCCCAGAGAATCCAGGCCTCGAAAATGTTTTCTAGTCGCATCGTCAACTGTTAATAGATACAGGGATCCTTGAATAGTCAGCCAAGTCAATTCCACGCCGATCATCTCTTCCCTAATTGGAACATGGGAAGAACAGCCACCGGCATAGTTATAGGTCGCCGTGTTTTCATGGCATCACTGTTCACACTATTAGCAACTATATTCAAACAGTAGCTCAGATACCGCTCTACGATATCTGGTTTTTGATGGCATGACGTTGGGCCAATCATAAATCAAACGGTCATCCGCGCATGCGCGTCAAGAAGAAAGCCAGAAATGAGGGATCCAAAGGCCTGGTTGAAATTATTTGTTGATATTGCGTGGTGCGGACGGCAGAATTTGAGGTCGCAGCCGCGTGGGGGTGTCATGCCGGTCAATGGTTAACTACTTGCGCTCCCCGCACTAAATCTCGCGCGACAACGAGGGGAATTCAGAGACAATAAACAGCAATTGAAATAAATGTAAATTTAATTGAAGAAATGGATTTTTCTTTTTTCTTCTTTTATTTATTTAATTTTTTTTAACGTTTTCTGCATCTATTTTTCTTTTTCTATATGAAAAAGAGAAAATGCTAGTTGGGAGTTAGCAGGTTTTTCAAGTGTATCTAGTTATTCCGCCATCAATCTCGATAAATACATCTCGGTTGACTCAATTGACCATTAACCCCATTTCATTTAAATAATCTGGTGTTCCCCCCTTTCAATATACATATAAAACTGTTCCTGCTTCCCGCGACAATTGCGAAAACATATTGCCCCATAGTCAAAAATAATGCAAGCTGCCAATCGTCTCCAGACAGCTCTTCGAACGGGCCGGGGGGTGTCGTTCGGCGCATGGCAGATGCTCCCTGGCATCAACCATGCGCAGATAATGGCTAGGAGTGGCTTTGATTGGATTTGCATTGATACAGAGCACGGGAACATTGCAGGTAAAGAATCGATGAAAAAGGAAAACATTGGAACTGAGGGGATCCTCGCAATATGCGATACAGTTAAATGTTTCTTCAGAGATGGGGTTGGGTATATGCTGCTGAATTCGGCTGATGATGAGTTATTTGCTATTATAGATGCCCAAATGCACGAATCTGTTGCTGCAATTGCCGCGACGGGTGTCAGTCCTGTCGTACGGATTGTTGCCAACGAGTCATGGATGGTTAAGCGTACGTGATTCCCCCATGGGGGGTTTCGTAAACCAGTTTCTACTAGCGGCTTTTGCTTATATTAATTCGAAATATAGGTGCATTGGATGCGGGAGCTCATGGAATTATCGTACCCCTCCTTTACACGGTAGAAGACGCGAAGGCGCTGGTTGAATCAGCCAAGTTCCCTCCCGTGGGCAAAAGGGGTTTTGGAAGTCCCTTTTCTATGACCTCGTTTGGATCTATATCCCAGACAGATTATTTGTTTCAGGCGAACGACGCTTTGCTTACAATTGTTCAAATAGAAACTAAGGAGGCTTTTGAAAATGTGCGACTTGCTGTTGCAAATAACATCACTTCTTTATCCCTTTCTCCCAGCACTGGGGAGCTGATAGCTAACTAGAACAAGTAGGTTGAGGAGATTGCAAAGGTGCCAGGGGTTGACGTGCTACTGGTCGGTCCATGGGACCTGGGAAATAATATTGGCAGACCCGTTACAGGTGATTTCCATCCCGATCTGGTCGCTGCAATTGAGAGGATTCGCAAGGCGGCTATCGGCAACGGCAAAAGGGCTGGTATTTTTTGTGTATCTGGGGAGTCCGCAAAGAAATATGCAGAGCAAGGTTTCCAGATGGTAATATCATATCCTTCCCTCGGTATCTCTACCCCATTTAATACCATGCTAACATTTTTATCCAGATTTCCGTGATTGCCGACGTCACTGCTCTTTCTACACAGTTGACCAGCTCATTAAAAACCGCTAGAGATGGCTTGTGAGGCGGAAGATATCTTCCCGTGACGAAGTCATGTAGCACCGCATGCAAGAACAGAGTCCCAACCAATATAGTTATATAGTCATGCATTCGGGAATCATATCGATTCTGCAACTTCCTTCATTGCCTTCTCGATCTCCTCCTCTGTAAATCGATGGAATAGCTTTTTCGGATTGGAGAGCGTTTTGCGGTCATCGTTGGCCTTGGACAAAACCCGTTGGACATGAAGAACGGGTACATCAAATTCGTAAACGTCCTTCCACGTTTTATTCTGTGGGACCATAACATCAATTTCTGAATATAGAAATGGTTTCTTATCCGCTAGCTTCGCTATAGTGTTCTTCGCCGTATCACAAAGAGAGCAATTGACGCGTGCAAAGAGAGTGATTCGGATATTTTGGAGCAGGCGGCTTGTGGGACGCATCATGCGGAGATGTTGTGTTCGAAGAGCTTATGTCACGAAATATTAGAAATTGGTGTATGCATGCACAAGTTTTCGACGGAGAGAACTTATAGAAAATCTGGATTTGGATTCTCGCGCTGTTGATATGAGATATATGGTTGAATTAAGCAAAAGCAGTGGTTTTGAAACTGGGTTTGTTTTTGTTTTCTTCGTCTGCTCCAGAAGCTTCGATGCTTTGGGGTGAAAGTTGCACGCTTAAAAAAAAAAACACCTACGCGGTGATTAATGGTGTAAAATATAAGAACATTCGCCAGTTAGTTATAACCAGTTATCCCACCGCATCTCAGTCTGCATCAAATCAACCAACGATTGTCAACTAATCCTAGTACAAACCGGGGATCTGTTTGCTAGTATATCACGGACACAAATATGGCACAAAAGTGTGTACACAAGGGCTGCGGCAAACTGTTCACTGACCCCGACGAACCATGTGTCTACCACCCAGGCCCTCCCGAATTCCACGAAGGCCAAAAAGGTCAGTGCAAAGTGGCTTGTTGATTTGGAATTACGTCTCCTGGTTCCAGTAGCTGCAGAAATGACCGGGGAAGAAGGCACTCGCAAACCAAAGGAGTTAGCTGACAGAGCTTCACCACAACAGGATGGAAGTGCTGTAAACCCCGCGTTCTCACGTTCGAAGAATTCCTCTCCATCCCACCATGCACAACGGGGAAACACTCCATGGTAGACACTCCTGCCACGGAATCAGCAAGGGAGCCGCCCCAGATAGAACCCAGTTCAACAGAGAAACCCACACCTATCGCAATTGGAAACGTTCCCACCACCCTATCCGGTGCCGCAGTGCATACCCCTACACCAACTACGTCCCCACCACCAGAATCAGAATCCGATGACCCATCCATTGCTATCAATGCGGGGGCGACATGTCGTCGCAGGGGTTGTAATGCGAGCCACTCGCTTTCTTCATCACGAGATGATGAGAAATGCATACATCACCCTGGCCAGCCCATTTTCCATGAAGGGAGTAAGGGGTGGAGCTGCTGCAAGCGTAGAGTGCTGGAGTTTGATGAGTTTATGAAAATTGCGGGGTGTAGAGAGAAGAAGAGACATTTGTTTATAGGGAAGGGGAAGCAAGCGGGAGAGGAGAAAGTTGATAATATCCGGTGAGTTCCTTTGCTTCGATCATTGTATCCAATGCAGTTTCAACCGGCAAATGCATTCGAAGTATTCTACAGAGCACAGAAAAAGAATTTTCTGCTTGCTAACTAGGTGCTTTTTCTGGAAATACTCAGAACCGATTTCTACCAGACTGCCACCACTATCATGGCCACCCTGTACCTCAAGAAGATTGACAAGGCCACTGCTAAAGTCAAATTTTCATCACCCACCACAATTGAATTGGACCTTCCAACCTCTGATAATAAGCGCTTCAGAGAATCCTTCAACCTATACGCGCCCATCGATGTCGAGAAATCTAGTTTTCAAATAATGGGTACGAAGATGGATCTGAACTTGGTAAAGGCAGACGGGACGAGCTGGCCCGTCCTGCGGAAGGATGATAAACATACAGGGGAAATTATTCAGATTGGTCGCGCTAAGAAGGCTTGAAGCAGGTTGGGTAGGGTAATTAGATCTATGTGAGACGACTTAGATGATGATATAACGGAACGGATATGACGGCGAATAATCATGAGTATATACTATATGTTTTATGTTGGATTAGGAGTTTTGGGGTACCTAGAATGGATGGATCTCCTCATTTCCGCATTGTCCTTCCATGTGATGACATGCTTCTCCAGATTGTTGATTTCCAGAGTGTCCAGCTGCGCATGGTTCCTTTGTCGAAGTGTGTTGGATAAATATGCCAGACAGCGCCAGTTGTAGGTACAAGAGTGGTTGTAAGAACACATCAACTTGCAGAATTGTGAGAATAATCAATTAAATAGTTCCATTCCATTCGTTCTAAATCGCTCCTGCTCCTGGCTATTATTATTCCATAATTCAAGCGGCCCATACATTCATGCCCGGAGATTCCTTGAAAAATTCGACAGAATTCCAACCAACCATTTCCTATAAGAACATCCAAGACAACATTACAAGAGAGATAGGTAGCGACGATGTGTCACGCCTCCTCCACAGCTAAAGCCCACAGAAATAAGCCCAGCCATAATAGTAAATTTGGGAAAAAGGACGACGCAAATTCGTCTCCGGGGCCGGGAACGGAAGGAAACCCATTTCTCTCAAAACAGCGCACAAATAAAAGTGGTGTAAGGACGGATGACCCTCAGCAAGCCGCATATAGCGGAGCTCCGGTTTGAAATTTACATGGTTATGTAAACCTCTACTGATGATGGAGAAGAAAGAATAAAAAAAAGGTAAGAAAAAGGTGTCGAGGTTGAGGTTGGGTTTTTATAGGTTTCTCCTTGGCAAGGTGGTGAGTCACGTGGTGGAGTGGAGCGCTTTAGGATTAGGCTGGGTTTGTCCCCAGACAAGCCCTAAGTCTAGGCTGTTTTGGGACAGATTGACCCCCCGTAAGAGGGCTGACAGCACTTGAACTTGGTCCCAAGACATTCTTAACCCATTGTGATTTTCGGCCAAATGTTCGGATCGATAAAGACCTTCTTTTGCTGCTCTTGGAACTACATGTTTGGAAGGGAAAAAAGCCTTAGCCTAAGGCGCTATAGAAAAGCATTGGTTACAAATGGTTATGTCCATGTTTTAATTATCTCGCCTGCTTCCAATCATAGGTCGTGTTGAAATCCAGGGGTTTCCGAATATTGCCCCAGATAAAACATTTATCAAGAGAGAGTGGTATCAACTCTGGTTTGTATGTACCCAACCTCCCGAGGTCACCAAAGCTTGTCGATATAGAGACAGCTTCACTGTTCATTGCCCTCTTGAGAAAGATATATTACCCGTCAGCCCAAGAGATAGCTTTGGCCACAAAGAGGGGAGGGCGTTGAATTGATTGTCATCTCTAGTTGTGAAGGCCCATTCCGCCAGTTGGTTGCACGCGGTGTAAGGAGAAAGACTTGCGACCATTGACAACTCAAATCCCGCTTTCCCCCTCTCACTGTTCGGAGCTTTCTAACCTACGGAGTAAATTGTGCCACAATGCAGCTTCCAAAACAGATTACAACTTAGGTAGCCAGGTTATTACTATCATTGATGTTACGTCGTCACTTACAATTCGGAGTCAAAAACATAGCCAATGCATATATCGCATTTGAGAGCAACCAAGATGGATAGCTCTATTAATAGTCTACATTGAGTCGCAGTCAAAACATGTGCAATGGAATCCATGGGATATCCCCGTCGGATCGGAGATTGTTCCTGTAGGCTAGGCTGAACTAGGCTAGCGGTAAACTCGGAATGAGGAACATGCCAAGGTTCCAACCTTATTTTGTTGAATTTCACGTGAAGAGCACCTAGGGAAGATCTTTGTTCCGCAGGTACTTCTACGGTGTAATTTGGCGGCGTAATACTTCAGGGGCATTATCACTTTTTCCCCTTCGCTCTGAGCACGAGACCACTTGCCTTCGCCAACTAGTTCACCGCATCCCTAATTGCACTCCTTTCGACTCCATCTGCTCAACACCTGCATTCAAAGCATTCCTATACCCCACGGTATGTATCCCCCATGTCAGAGAAGTGTCTACTTTCGGTCTGTCTTGAAATCTCTGGGCCAAGCCGTTCGTCGAGTCTCCACTCTTTCAGCAACAGTGATTCTGGTAGCGCAGTTGTAACTGTTTCGAATGGTTCTTGATGGCCTCTGGGCCCTCTTTTATTGACTGATAGCGGGCGACTCCTATTGAGAATTTGTAGGACTGAAATTGGCTGAAATTGACTGAAACTGACTGTTTTCCCTGTCTCCAGATTCTTTAATATCCACCCTCTTTGATATACTCCTTTTTCTTCATTAGATGGTCCGCCAAACATTAGCTACAAACAAACACGTCTTCCTAATGGGTTCCAACAACGCACAAAACGGCGGAATTGCGTCTCTTCCCTATATCCCGTTATCATACAATCAAGCTGACTCCCAAGCCTCTGCTCTGAGGCTTGTGTTGACAGTAAACCCGGACTGGGAACACTCGGATGGCAATATTGAATTTATCAGATTTACGGATGGGATAACCAATACCGTATGTAACCCGTCCCTATTTAAACAAGGGAGGGGAAACACCGTGCTTAGGCCTGATATTGTGACGTAGCTATTGAAAATCATTAAAAGAGCACCAGGCCTGTCAGATGAACAAATCGACAACGAGGCAATCTTGATGAGAGCTTACGGAAACCATACAGAAATAATAATAGACCGCGATAGTATGTCGTCCTGCCACATAGCAATGAGAGACTTATACTGATTACAATGCCACCAACAGGAGAAACTAGATCCCATGCCTTACTTGCTGCGCGAGGCCTGGCCCCTCCTCTCCTTGCTAGATTTAAAAATGGGCTGCTATACCGTTTTATTCGTGGGAGGGTAACTTCTCCAAACGACCTCATTCAGCCTTGTGTGTTCAGGGCTATTGCACGGCGACTCGCGCAGTGGCACGCAGTGCTGCCAATTGATGAAACAGCGCCAGCGACTTTGAACCAAGATAACCCAGAAGAGTCAGGTTCTTTAGATGTGTCTACGAACGGATCAAAATCGTCTGCTCAAGTGGACGATATAATACCTGTTAAAACCCGACATGAAGGAAGCAGCATCTGGACCGTTCTGCAGAAATGGATCACTGCCTTACCTGTGACTACAGAGCAGGAGCGTGTTCGACGGACAGAGCTCCATAAGGAATTTGAAAAAATAGTTGTTGAATTTGATGACGGAGAAGGACTTGGCAAGGGAGGGGTATTTTTGAACCATAGCCTCTTTTAAGATATGATTCTACAATTGCTAATTCTGGGGTGTAGTTTGTATTTGCTCACTGTGACCTACTGAGTGCAAATGTCATCGTCCTACCGAATCCCGCCAAATCGACCCTTGAAGATGCCAATGGAGACGAAACCGTGAGCTTTATCGACTATGAATATGCAACACCGTCACCGGCGGCATTCGACATCGCAAACCATTTCGCAGAATGGGCCGGATACGACTGTGATTTCAATAGGATACCAACGCGATCTGTTCGAAGGGAATTCCTGACTGAATATGTCAAGAGCTACCACCAACATTCGAACTTGCCTAAAGTCAATCAAGAAGAGGTTGTTGAGAAACTCTTCAATGATGTTGATCGATTCCGCGGAATTCCTGGATTCTATTGGTAGGGATAATATATGATAGTCTGGTTCGAAATTGGAGTTCATGGCTAACCATGAACCTTAAAGGGGTGTCTGGGCATTGATCCAAGCGACGATCTCACAAATCGATTTCGACTATGCTTCTTATGCAGAGTTGCGCCTGGGCGAATATTGGGCTTGGCGTCATGAGGTTGAAGGAACCCGAGCCCGAGCAGGAGGAGAAATGCCCCTGCGAGAGCAACGATGGGCACAAGAGGCATAGATTACGTCATACATTAATAGACCAGATTGTTTGTGGTCTATATTCTACTAATCTACAAATTCAGACAGGGTCCATTTTGGGCCTTTTTTTTTCCTGCTTTTTACCACCGTTATCATCATGACGTTATTTATGCATTTTCGTTTCCGTTCCAGGAATGACTACCCATGACGCTATAACTATACGTCTCAAGATACTTTTTTGTTTAATATTACAACTCACGAACGTTTCTACAACACGATTCGTCTGAGTCTTTCCGCATGTGAAAAGCACAAACGAATATTTTCATGAAATGGGATTTAGTGTATCGGACACATATTTTTGAACGTGGGAACCGGCGTTGTTAGATTCGCAGAACTAGCAATTTCTATTCTGTCTTCAATGACTGAGTTATAACTACCCAACGGTCTTGCCTTGTCTCTTACCCTTTTGTTAGTTCCTGTATAACTGATAGATAACCTCATGAATTTCATTTGTAGTGACTAATGCAACAATGTGTTTCAATGCTCTCTATCAGGTAGCTTCGAGATCTCGATTCTAGGAAGCGAAAACGGGCAATAGCTTGTTCTGGCGAACAAAACGGGAAGGGAGCTTGAAATCTAATATTGTTTAACTTCAGAAAGGTATCCTGAATCTTGTGATAGCCCGCGATGGACTATGGACTCACAAATTCTACCCCACTTCTGTGCACGAAAACTAAGAATGCCAGTTCTATTAACTGCGAATTCCTGAGATGTGGTGTAATGTGTGTAATGTTTCATATGCACACTGAGCTGATGAGCCGATATTATCGGTTTTCTATCTAGGACACTTCATTGAGGGGGAATGTTTGTCACCCCTTATTAATAATTACTTTGTGGAATGCAACCCTGAGACCGGAAAATTGTGCAATGAGATTGAACGGAGTTTTGAAGGATGGAAATAACCAGCAGAATGCTTGTAGGTGAGTTGAGCTTCCTTGTGAGAATATATGTGTGAACTTACATAACCCGCTGGAGATGGATCTAAGCCGTGGCGGAGCGCTTGAATGTTTCGAGCCATTTTCACAGGCGAAGAGTGGAACTTGAGCAGTGTCGCGAAATACGGACTTCTTGCGAGAGGCGACATGACTTCGCGTTAGGGCGTAATCCATCTTAAAGTCTTCAATCTATATACACCTTGGACAGTGTTGGGGAATTAAAGAATTTCTGCTCTGTATTTCAAAATCTTTTGAATTCTAAACTAGGTCGTGTAACATGAGATGAATTCACAATGTCAAAAGGCCCTTGTTGAAATTCCCGGAGCCGCCCAAATAATAGTTAGTATCTTTGCATCTGCTAGGCTCCTCTATTCTGCTTCATTAAAGTTAGCCAGTCAGCCGTTTTCATCTGGAAGTGGAAAAGCATGGTCAACTGAGCGATCAAAACCCAATTCCCCTGAGTGGCGGAAGACAACTAACTAATTAAACAACTAAAGATGCAGCTGAAAATTTCTCGCGCCATTGGTATGAGAAGGACAAAATTGGTGCTGGTTGACCTTAGGCACGTTCCAACAATCGATGACGGGAGGTTTGCTGCATATCCGAGAAGCTATATAGATGGCATGGGATATGCCTCGTCATCGGCGTGCAGGATGGAGACAAATGTCAATGGTCCAAAGCATGACAAGCTGTATTGGCAGTGTAAGGGGAGGATGGAAGGAAAGGATATGGTGATTTGCTTTGATTTGATTTTTCCCTCCCCTTTCTTCTCATTTTTATCACATTTTTTTTAAGTCGTCTATACAAAGGTCTAAGGTTGGAAAAACTCCAGCGTCTTTGGATTTAAGGTGCACGGTCCAAGAGCAAGGTGTTGGCAACTACGCAGATACGCACATAACATATGCATAGTACAAGGCGTCAGCCATGACGAATTAGACTCGGTTTTAGCAATTGCCATGTGGATAATTAGTCGAACGACTGTTTGGGGCCTTTGAGCCTAAAGTCATCCAACAGTAGTTATATCCGACCACGGAAAATGAGAGCAAGAAGTTATGGATTTCGGAAAACTGTGTTGTTGTAACCTACCTGCTAGTTAACTACCTCCTTCCATGATCTTCCAACCAATTCCCAGGCCCATGGGAATTTCCGCCTCAAGTTTCTCGCTGGCTGGTCTCCCACATATAGAGAACATAAGTATTTTATCCGAGTTGTTACACCATAGTTGCGACAGCTTGAATATATACCTACGTAGTTCAGCACATCTTCCTCTTCAATAGGATTTCAAGTTTTCCTTCTCCTTTGGATTGATTATACAGGTAGCTCGAAATGACAAATCCCCAGCCGCTGCTGCTCGGTAATGCAGAGTTTAACCTCTCCCTAGGTAACAGCGGATGCTATTTGCTGGTACCATTATTTCAAGGGCTTCCAAATAGCTTTCCTTTCATTATGAGAGGTTGTGTCCAGTTGCTCATGCGAGTCACGCATTGATTGACGTTCCTGAAAGAAAAAGGAGCAGAAGAAAAGTTCCGTTGAGTGGAACGAGGTGAGCGTGGATAACGAACCCCGCTCAGGCAGCTTGTAGCTTACACACAACGGGCGAGGGTTGCCACTGGAAAGTTACAAGGCATCATCACGTCTACTAGCCAAAGCGAAGACCTGGCCCTTGGTGCTAGCTGAGATTTCCAAAACGTGCGATATCTTGGTTGGAGAACCGAATTCAACAGCCAGGACATTCCACGGATGACTTCAAAAGGTGAATTTATTGAGGAGTTAAAGCTGAGCTGCCGCTGACTCGATCAATGTCCCGAGAGCCATCCAACATGAGCCATGGATGTGACTATGGGCTGTGGTAAAAGACGAAGAGCAAAGAGACCAATGATTTCGACCCGGAAACAAGGGCCAATTATCCATCGAAACGACGAGAAAACGAAGGAAACGGAAGCTTCAGTTCTCGCGCTTATGTTTCCTGAGGCCTGGGATATCTAAATTACCACCCTACATGAAAATCGGCACCAGAACCCGCCACGATTCAACCCAAGGTAAAAAAAAATTAACTTTTCATCAACCCTTACTAGCTGAACTATGTACGTATAAAAATAGGAAACAAGCTTGAAGGTAAGAAGAAATAAGAAAAAAAGAGAGAAAAAAAAAGGAGTAAGGAGAATCGAATATTGTTGAGCATCAAGTAAAGGACAGACAGACAAATCCTATGAAACAAGTTTAGTGAAATGCAGGGGACGGATGAGACTAATAAGTATACAGTATATCCCCTAAGATTCCACCCAGGTGATATCTTGTGAAATTAGCATAAAATGTGACCAAGGACAAAAAATGAAAAGCCCAAAAGCCTGAGGGTGGGGAAACGATATCGAACACCAACTTCCAAAATGTACAAAGCGGCCCCTTTTTATAATCATATTCATCGAAGCTTATCCAAAACTTTGCATAGAATCTCCCAACATAGCTCTTTACCATATCATCGCAGCGACACCGGCCAGCATCACACCAAGACAGAAGGCACCAACACGGTTTGCAGGGCCTTGGGAGGGCCGTTGCGATGCAGTTGGTGTGGGGGTAGCAGAACCATTTATGCTGACTAGCGTGAAGTTGCCGCAGTTGATACGGGACGTATTCTTGTAATGGACGACGATAGATCGATTGCCGACATATGAACCAAGGCCGTCTTTGACGGAGGTGAAATTATCCATAAAAGTCACTTCATAGACGCTTCCGTTGGACGCGTTCCTAATATCGCCGTACTTGCCACTCAGATCGCCCTCCTGGCACATCTGGGGCGTGCTCGCGTTGCAGGGTGGCATCTCGCCACGCATCATTAGATCGAGATGGGCAAGGGTGGAGTTGCAGTTACCCGAGGAATCGACAGGTTCAACATGGACGTGCCACGCTAATCTCCGGTTAGAATATTGTAGACAAAGAAATGATATTTGAGGGAATGGGATTGTCGCTCACGGAAGGTTCCTCCAACTTCTGTCTCGTTTGGGAAACCCCAAAACTTGGCATGGTACATCACTCCAACACCGCCTGGGCCACCAGTAACATTGACAACTCCGCGAACAGTGGTATCATTTCTGTCCATCAGATGCATGGTGTACGTATCATTCGGGTTGTCGGTAGTTATGGCGACTTCCGGAAATTGCGCAGTCGCACGGAGGGCAAAGCCCAGCGAACATGCGAGGACAGAAAATATAGGCTTCATGTCGAAAGAAAATAAGAAAATCGTGTCATGACAACTGGGTCTGAAAGAGTCAGTGAGGCGCCAAGAAAGGAGGACGAAATTGCAGATATATGGAGAGGAGAAACAGAAACTTATATAACAGCTCAAGATATTGTGAAATGATATGTGCACAGGAACAGTTAAAACGTACAAAGGCTATATATATATATATATATATATATATACTGTATGCTGTTGTGATAATGTAATGTGGCTTAACTTGTGGCGGGTTTTGAATGCTATGTAACAGAAATAGCTAGCGCGGGACGAAGGAGCAAAGGGGGAGAAGTCGAAATGAAGAAGGGAAATAAAACCAACAAATCACAGTGTGGTAGGAAGCTAAACGGGTGAGTGGAAGTGCGCACGTCTCGGGAGGTATCAACGGCGGAAAAGCAGCAGCAAAACGATAAATCAGGCACATTTGAACAATTACATCCGCCGAATATATAGGATGCCGGCCTCTTCTTGAGAGCTCGCTCATAATGCTACAATCCCCAGTTTTGCTTTCTTTTTTTAGCTGTGGGGGCCGGGGGCTGTGATTCTGTGAAAGGTACCCATGGACTGACTTGACTGCCCATTATTATTGTAGGTTGGTGGGGTGCAGCAGGCTTTCCACACGGGCGCAGAAGTGGGCCTCATTTAGTTGGTGTCGTGTGATCCCCGTTAAACTTGGCCCGTCCCATGGGATAGGGAATGAGTCTCCGGGTGCCCGATAAGGCTCGGGTTATGGGGTCCTTTGCGCGCCCCCCCCTAAGGAGCCACAATGGGAACAAAACATTAGGCACGTCTAGTTTTGCCACTTTTGAGTCCTACCAATCAGGTTGATTATTGTTTCAGTTAAAGTTGCTACGGCATAGCCCTGTTTTCATCATTGAGTTTGGCATGTTTCATTGGAGTTTCTCCCATGTTTTCAAAAACCTTGAGAGATAATAACAACGGCGACAGAGACATATATTTCTAGAATGTCCCTCAAAACAAGCATCTTTAATGATAAGACTTGAACACATAGAAAGAATACATTCTTCACATCACAAGATGCTAGTCTTTGAACTTCCATGCAGTGACTGAGGTTTCTTGCATTTTTTGATTTTGATTTTGATTGATCAATCAGCATGCCTCAATCTTGAAACAACACTCTTGACCACGCGAGCGCAACAACATCGCAGTGATGGTATGTCACAATTTTAAAGGAGTTGATATATTTACATTCTTTCCTGTATTTGTGATACTCTCCATTCTCATGGACTTTATACGGATAACTCGTCATTGATCATGATGTAGATGTAGAGAAATTGATCTTGGGAAATCATCATTGTTACATTCTGTACTTGCATTATCTTCATCAACATTCTGCAGAAGCTTAACTCCAGTTCAAAGCTGCTTAATGCTTGAAGAAAATTGAATGGATTTACCAACAGAGACATAAGAGTGACAAATCCCAAATCATCCCTGAATTCAACGTTGATAGAGTGGAACTCTTGTTTTCCGAAGATAACGAAAATCATCATCATTCTTTACAACCCTTTCGTCCCGCATATTGGGCAAGAGGATTGGACGAATCTTGACAGCATCATATGTAGGCCCTGCCTAGCAGCTCCAGAGTTTGACTCGTTTCCTAAATCTAATTCCCTATAGCAGATATATCTCACTTATAATAATATCATATTTGAAAGACCGTCTCTGACACATCCTCTCACGTAATTGACAGGCAAAGAAGCAAGGGGTGTGCAGAACAAAGCCACCCTTATCACTTCGCCAAGCTGTTTCATTAATCATCGTTCCGCTCTCCGGAAATCCCGAGTTACGCCCCCACTAAGAAGCATTTTATGTCACCCTAAAACGCGACTTCACCGAGCGGCTTATCATTCAAGACTACATATGGATGTATTATTGATGGGAGCTTGTCATCAGGTAGACACCGCCTCTCACAAAAATGATGTCCTCAGCAAACGGTGTCCTGTGGTCATTATTTCATCATTGGGTCAAGTTCATAGAAACAAGCTGACTACGAGCGGCAAACATTGCCAATAGTTACCAGGAGGAGCAAATGCCCCATCCAGAAAGGGCTTTTCAACTTTTGTGGTTGGCGCCGGTGTTCCGCTGAGTCACGTGACTATGATTTTTGCCCCGGAGGCATCCCCAGATCGATCGTCATTCCGACAAATGCCACACAAACGATATCGAATGGAAACATGGGATCAAAGAAAGTTAATTCAGTAGAATAAACCCTGCTGATTTATAATCCTTCATAATTTAACTTAGTTTAACTAGTTTTACCTGAACTTAGCTAGTTTAACTAACTTATTTATTTTATTTCCCCACTGACCCGAACCATCAAAATTAAGTAAACTATCTTCAACTTCCTCATTCCAACCCATTTCAACGCGTGAGAGAGCCTCGAATTCACTAACTAAACAAAAAAGCAAGAAACTCTATAGAGATAAAGAAGAGGGAAGAATTTCAACTTGCAATTTCATTCTTTTAAAATCAAGAAACAGGCTCAATTCATGAAGCTGCACGTGTATTTGAAATTTCATAGCCTATTCCATGTCATTTTACTTAAATGGCCGGCTGGAGTTACCATGGCACCCTGTGTCTCTGCATTAACATCACGTAGAACGGTGATGTCAGGAAGCGGTACGAGTGAGCTTGACTAACTGTTGGATATGTTTACAGCAGAGAAGGATACTGTCTAATCAAGAGCACTAGTAATTATAACAGAAATGTATATTGCATAGTTTCAGTAAACTCGGTTAGACTGAAAATAAATCATTAACTTTTAGAATGATGATTCTATCAGAGACATTATTCTGTAATATAACGTAATTTTCACTGATCGGATGAGTTGCATCTTTGAGCAGATGATCAAATTTTAACATGTTCAATTAAATAAATTATAATCTAGATTTTTAACACTTAATAACAATTAAGTTAAATTGAATTACATTAAATACAAAACATTTACTTTCTTTATATTCATGAGAGCTATAGTTATTACATCATAATGAATCTTGTAAATATCATTTTAAAATTAAAAATAGTTATAAAAATTTAATTAATTTAATTTATATTTTTAAATAATTAATTATATATTATATTTTATTTTAAAAATTATTTACTTTTAATATAATATCTACTAATTAAAATAATTTATAAATATTTAAGTTAAACATTTTAATTGTATTTTAAAATAATTCTTTATAATTTTTAATTTTTATATTTAATTTATTTATAATAATAATTTTAAAAATAATACTATTAATGTTTTAATTAATATATTAATAAATTTAATAAAAAATTAATTTTATAAATATAAAATTCAATCAATAATACTTTCAATAATTTTTTTAAGTTTATATAAATTTATTTATATATTAACCACTAAATTAATAAAATTTAAATATTAATATTTTTTATAAATTTAATTATTTTATAAATTATTAATTTA